AAAATTGAAATTTCAAAAATAAATGGCCTATCGAGTTGATTCATTCATTTAAATAATGAAACCTGAATATAACTGCATTTGTTATTGTGGCAGAACATACACATTGTAAAGGACGTGGCACTAAGTCCATTCACTCTCATTGTTTGGCTCCGGAACTTTCTCACCACCCTTCATGGAATGCCCATTTCCTGTCTGCCCTTGGCTCCTAGCAAGCACTCCGCTGCTTCTGGCTCTATGCTTTTGCCAGGCTCGGGCATCTTATACAAATGGAATCATGCAATTATGTGGTCTTTGTGTCTAGCTTCTGTTACTTAACATGCTCAGTTTTTTTTTTTTTCATGTCGTAGTGTGTATTAGTGCTTCATTCCTTTTTTATATCTAAATAATATTCCATGATATGGATACGCTACTTTTTGTTCAATCACTCGTTTCGTTGATCGGCATCTGGGTTGTTTTCACCTTGTTTTTGAGTGCTGACTAGAACTGCTGTGAACATTCAAGTACACCTCAACACCTGCCCCTAAGTCATTTGAACAGACGCCCCTGTGGTTCACCTGGGCCACTGCTCTCCCCCCCGCTTTGCCCTGCCCTTTCCTGGAAGGATGCTCTTCATGGCCGCCACAACAATCTCCTTAAAACTTAAGTCAGCTCAGGCAGAGGCCTCCTGGGTCTGTCTCTCCTAACATCCCTAGCAAAGCCCTGACCTGGGCCTGTGCCTCTGACTTGGGCCTGTGCCTCTGACCTGGGCCTGCGCCCCTGACCTGGGCCTGTGCCCCTGATGCAGGCTCCTTCTAGCTGCTGCTCTCACAGCATTCCTTGTGGCCCTTGCTGAGAAAGCTCTGCTCACACGCAGGTCTGACGCTCTCACTTGGCTCGTGCCTCAGCTCCTCGGGGTGGCCTTCCCGATGCCTCGTTTCCTTGCCATCCAGGTTTCGTCCCTTTGCTAACAGCAAACACCGTTCTATCCATGTTTGTTGTCTGTCTGCCCCGCTGACATGCAAGTGCCATGAAGCTGGGGACTAAAAACACACACAACTTCTGGGTACAATCAACACACATTCACAAACAAGTGAATGCCATTTAATCAAATACTGTTGCATATCTTTTTCTTTTTTTAAATAGAATTCATCTGAGTGTCCAACCATTCAGTGAAGTCCGCAATCTGTCTATGGTTCCATGAGGCTGTCACGGGACACTTTACCTGAGGGCCCCGGGAGGCCACATTAAATGGCGTTCATCTAGGCTAACTTGCTGTGGCGGTTAGCCCCCAGCCATGCAAGCTAAGGCACATGAGCTCGGCGTGCAGATAAGACCCCAAGACGCCGACTTCCTTCACTGTCTCCTACGAAAGCCTGGGTGAAGGTTCGATGTGGATCCAAAGAACCACAGTGGCCCAGACGACCGACCCTTGTACCCACTTCATCCACTGTGTAAGAAGCCAAATGAGCCGAGATGCTTAGGAACTTGCCCCCAGGACACAGCCTGACTCACCCATCACTGCTGCACCTGCCAGACAAGCAGCGGTGCTCTCCCAGGCCTCCCGTGGAATCACTGTAACCGCTGGAACCCTGAGCTTTCCTCTTCCCCTCCATGGTTGTAGTCACTCTTTCTCCTTTTAAGTTAGGGAGCGTTTACTTTCTTTAAGGCGATTTTTCATATTTCTGGTTTGATCCGTTCAACCCAATCATCACTGTGAAGGCCTCTGAAAGTCATTTTTGTGCCCCCCCTTCCAAGTCTGAGCAGGCAGGTCCATCACTGCTAACTGCTCTGTGTTCTGGACAGACCTCTTCCTGAATGCACAGACTCGGTGCCATCTGCAGTGAGGTGGCTATGCATTCTCTAAGGAAGATGGGTAAGACCTTTCTACCGAAAATTAGAAAAATTGCTGCCTGTATTAAAACATGAAATCAGCAGAAAAATGGAAGAAAGCGGGCTGGCACTGTGGTACAACAGATTAAGCCACCGCCTGTTGTGACACTGGCACCTCACGTGAGCACCAGTTCAAGACCTGGCGTCTCCACTTTAGAACCAGATACCCTGCTTATGTGCTTGGGAAAGCAGAGGAAAGTGGTGCAAGTGTTGGGGCCCTGCGTTGAGGCGGGAGACCCAACAGAAACTCCTGGCTTTGGACTGACCAGCTCCGGCCAATAAACCAGCGCATGGGAGATTCTCACTCTTTGTATAACCCTTTCAAACAAATCTTAAAAACAAGCTAGTCCAAATTCAGCTTATGCCTTTTAATGTGATCTTTCTAAAAAACCTAACTGTGATCTCTTCCCCTCCAATTGAAAGCTTTCCATGATGGCAGCGCACAGAAAGATAAAACCTAAATCAATGCTCCTGAGTAGCTCCAGGCCTCAGCTCAGAGGTCACTTCCCCAGGCTGTCCTGCTGCCCGCTCGGGCTACAGCCACCCTCTGTCTCCCACCTGCTTCCTGCCTGCAGTGCCCACCTGTGCATTCCTTCAGGGATCTACTGTCCGCCTCTGCCCGCTTTGTAGGGTCCACACGGGTCAGGGAAAAGTACCCCGCTGCCTCCACCCCATGTTGGCACAGAGCCGAGGCCCCTTCCACCTGTCAACACAACTTTCCAGCTGTTTCTACCACTCCCTACCACAGCACAGCTCGTGGTCTAGTCACTGTGAAAGTGTGCCTTTCGCCCCATAAACTTTAAATTATCTGCATATCTAAAAGAATTATATCTCCCAGCTATGGCCTTGTCTCCTGTCTACTTAATTCACCCCAACTCTCTAACAGGACATTCCTTGGACTCTACCAAATACACTATGGCTCTTCCCTGCCCCCTCCCCCCCAAGATTTACTTTTTATTTGCAAGGTAGATTTACAGAGAGAAGGCGAGACAGATCTCCCAGATGCTTGTTCACTCCGCAAACATCCACAATGGCTAGAGCCGATCTGATGCTAGGAGCTTCCTCTGGGTCTCCCACACAGGTGCGGGGTACCCAGACTTTGGGTCATTTTCCGTGCTTTCCCAGGTCACCAGCAGGGAGCTGGACAGGACATGGAGCAGCTGGGAGTCGAACCAGTGCCCACACGGGATGCCAGTACCACAGGCAGAGGATCAGCCTGCCACTAGCCACAAACTGTAGTTCCTTTAAGCATCTTTAGCACATTCCTTGAGCTAAATGACTGCTCATCAGTTATACCATCTAGTTATCTCAAGCTATGGAAGGCAGAAATAAAAAGGGCTGGGGTAGCTAGAGACTTAAGGTCCTTTTCTCCTGCCTTCTGACCTACCTGACATACTAGTGCACGACGCTGCTTAGGGCTACGGCAGCCCAGCTGGAGGACCTGGGTGTGGGCCTCAGCTCCACTTCCCTGCCTGGCATCTCAACTCACAGTCTGACAGGCAGCAGGCGATGGCAGCCATGAGGGAGATCCAGACTGAGTCAGCCTGGCCCACTCCTAGCTGTCGCAGACATTTAGGGAGTGAAACTGCCACCCCCCAAAACCAAAAACAATTCTACAACCAGTGTGACACTGATCTGTCTGAATCTCAGGTTTTTGTAACCTTTTAAGGTAAGCTTTATTCTTGCATCCCCAACCAAAGATGCCTTGCTGACAAAAAGCTATGGGGCCAAGTAAAAGGATAGGGAATCTCAAAATACACATCGGTCGGTAGACACGAGGGTTACCCGGATCCTCTGAAATCAAGCAGCTACCTGGAAAAAGGCTAAAAACAGGTGAAATCTATTTAATTGATTGCTTAATGGAAACTATCAAATGTGATTTCAACACGAAATTTAACAACGTCATTTGTATGAAGAGCTCTGAAATTGTGTATTTTCGATCTTACAGCATGTCTTATCTGGACCAGTCTCATTTTTTCTCTCGTGTGTGTGTGTAGCAGGAATGTCCTCATTTCAAGCGTCGAATGGCCACAGGCAGACAAGGGATGCACTAGTGGACGGCAAGAATGCGTTGCTTTCCCCAGCCTGAGCTATTTGTCCTTGAACTCTAGTGCCCCGAGACGGGCAGCAGGAGAAGGGGAACTGGCGGTCAGCCTGCCCGGGCCTGCAGGCACGGACTCGCTGCACCTTGGGCTTAGGTGGCAGCTCTCCCGGCCCTCCCCCTGCGGCATCAACCTTGGGCGCCACGCGGGAGAATTCGAGCGCGTTCGGATTCCCAGCGCAGGTTCTGTCCCAGGCTCCCCCACTCAGAACTTCTCCCGGGATCAAGGAGAGGCCGACTCCCCGGGCCGGCCCCAAACCGAGTCGGCCGGGCAGGAAACAGTCCCGGGAATTGTATGGGTGCAGCAAGCCGTGGCCCAGGTCCGCGTGACCCGGCGGCCGCGGTCCACCGCTTTCCCCCGCGGGGCAGCGCGGTCACCACCCGTTCGAAAGCAACGCTAGTTCACGTTCTAGAACCCGCCGTCCTCACAGCCCGCACACTTATCCACCCCTGTGTGCGAGACGCCAGCGGATCAGACAAAAGCCCCGTCTCGGGTCCGGGGGCGGCGCGGGCGGGCGGGCCGGCGGGCTCCGGGCTCGGCGCAGACCGAGCGCTCAGCTGACCCTTTCCGCGCCTCTGCGTCGGGCTCCCTGGCGTGGTGTCACCGGACAGTCGCCACACCCTTCAGGGAGGCGTTGCTCCCACCGAGCCGGGAAGTATAAAGCGGCTGAGGAACTTGTGCGACCCCCCAAGCAACTCCTGTGCTAAGCCACGCGCTGAGCCACAGGGTGCGCCGACAGCGCCTCCGCCCCTCCGCAAGCTCCGCCTCAGAGACGCCCTCCGACCCCGGAGCGGAGCAGCCGTCGCAGCCCCGGACCTCTCCGAGGCCTTCCTGGCGCCGGCCGGAGCCTACCTGATCGCTCCCACCCCGTCGGCCGACACCGGGAGCCGCAGAGTGAGAAGACCGTCCCGCAGGTCCTGGCGACGCAGGAACTACACTTCCCGTGAGGCTTGGCGGCGTCGGGCAGGGTGCTGCGCAGCCGCGCGCCCGGCGTGCGTGGCGGCGTCAGCGGTTCTAGAACGTTGCTGTGGTAGCGCTCGGGCGCCATGTTAGGACGAAGGGGAAGGAGGAGAAGCGCTTAAAGCGGCGGGAGCGGGTGCGGGAGTGGGGTTGGACCCAGGGCTGAGGCAGGCCCCCCTCCCTCCCGCCTCAGTGGATCATGCCCAGGGCGGCAGCGGCGGCGGTTGCGGGGGGGAAGTGACTGGGCGGTGCCGGCGCAGGAGACGATGCCGTTGTAAGTGATTTGTGTGTGTTTTCTGTCGCACGCCGGCTGGGCCTCGGGGGCGTCGGGGGAGCGGGCGGGGGTGGCGCGCGAGCCGGACGCTCGCCCCGTGGGAAGTCGGGCGGCCGGCCGGGCCTGAGGCTCCTCTTCCCGTTTGCTCAGCCGCCGGCCGGCCGGCCGCACTTCCCCCGTCTTGGCTCGGTTCGCGCGTCGCCCCCGGGCCGGTTCCGGGCCTGGGGGGCGAGGGGGGCCCGTCCCCTTGCAGAGGGCGAGGCTGCGGTGCCCCGGAGCCGACGGCTCCCGCTGCTCCGCGCAGCCCGGGCTGCGGGGGAGAGGGCAGCCCCGCCGCCAAACAATGCCCGGCGGCCGGGCAGGGGAGGCCCGGCTCTCCGCACCCGCACTCGGGGTGCGTCTGCAGAGTCCGGAGCGTGCGCCCGAGCGCTCCCCGGCTGCCCTCGGCGCGTCCCGAGGTGCGGGGGAGCTCGGTCCGGGTGGGGGGAGGCTGCGTGTCCCTGCTGCTGCCTGCTCCTTGTCGACTGCTCCTCCGTCCTTTTGTTGTGATTTTCTGATCGGAGTCCAAAAGCCAGTCCTCCCTGCCTGGGTCTGCGTCTTGGGGTTTCTTACTGTCCCGTGGCAGGCGTTTCCAGTTTTCCTCCTCTTTCCGGCTTGCCTTCCCTGTCTCCTGCCCTGTTGGAGTGAGCTACAGCTGCAGAGCCCATTGTTAGTAGATGGCAGCCTGTGTCTTCCGTGTGAGTGTGTACGGGTCTGAGCCCTCCTCTCCGATTTGTTTAGGAGTGCTCCTTTTGAGCGGACGGCCGAGCTGTCGTCACCTTTTGTGGCGCTCGGTCAAGCCAGGGCGTCGGAGCACGCCGCAAACTTGTGCTCAACTCCGAGTTAGAGGTTTTAGGGTTCGCAGTTGGCTGTGCGTGTCTCGCTACAGGTGAGAGACGAGTTTGGATGCGGGCCTCAGGGACCTCTTGCGCTTTCCGAGGTGTTTCAGGTAGACTTTGCTGGTTCTCGCCCAGCCCAGCCTGACTCACCTGTGGTCACGTTGTGACCAGCTCCAGCGCATTGTTCTTTCTGTGCTGAGGACGTTGGTGAGGCTTCGCTGCAGTGTGCATATCTAGAATCCTTGCATCTGCACGGTCCTTTTAAATGAGTCATCTTTGCATGATATGTTAAACAAGACGCACTATGAGAACTTAGTCGAAAGAATTTTGTGACTTTTCAGTAGTTTAGTAGGAGTTAGAATCAACTTAGCTGTTTGCAGTGCTAGCACGTGATCACTTTGTGTTAACTCATTTTACTGCTGTGTGTAGACACTTTCTCGATGTCAGTATTAAAAATCATGGGAAACGTACACCCTTTTGAGGTCTTAAATGAAAACATTATATAGATAAGTATGTCTTATTTTTAAGACTCAAAAGTACTTCTCTTCCTTCCTATGCATTTTTTGAGAAAAGAAGGTAGAAGCTACATCGAAGACTTTAATTTCTTCGAATTCTTCATTCAAATGAGTAGAGTGGCAGAGTCAGGGCTGATTTGTACAGATAGCTCCTTTACACTGCGCTGCTTGGAATCTGAACTGTGGCCAGTTTTATGTCAGCGCTCATTTTCGACCCCCAAGTATAGTGTAGTTCTCAAGTAATTAGACCAAGGAGCTCCTAGTTGATGCCACTAGTTTTCTTGCTCGTTCACTTGCTGTTTTCATGTTCTGGAACTGTGCTAGCATTGTGTGATTTCTGCTGTTCGTGTGATTTCTTAGCTGTGCTGTCTGTTCACTTTCAGTTTCTGTATGGCTCTGCTGCTGTTCATGGGGCGGGTGTGCAGGGTGATCACAGCAGCTGAAATCCAAGTTATTTTCCAGTAACTTCAACAACTCTGTGAGTGTAGCATGAATGCTAGGTCATTGATACTGGCTGTTTTGTTTTATGCCTTAAAAAAAATGGCATTTAGAAATTTGTTAATCGACTTCAAAAGCAGAGTGACAGATGGGTAGAGATGTGCCATCAGCTGGTTCACTCCCTGAAATGCTTGGCTGGGCTGGAGCTGGGAGCCTAGAGCTGAGCCTGGGTGTCCCGTGTGCGGGGCAGGGGCCCGGGCACCAGAGCCATCTGCTGCTGTCTGACAGGACGCGTTCACAGGGAGGCACTCGCACTCCAGGGTGGGATGTGGGTGTCCCAGCCTGCAGCAGTGATGTGTGCTGTACCAACAGGCCCAGCCCTCCTTTGTGCCCTCCGTGCTAAGCGCCAAGTGTGGTAGAGCTCAGCTGAATGGGTAGTGATCTGACTAGCCCAGAGGAGGATGGAGTGAAGGGTACAGTTACAGTTAATAAAATTGTTAGGTAGTTACAGAATGTTGTGATCAAGTGGCCCTGTTTGTCCAAGCTTACTATGTATATACTTACCTAGGGGTTTTTTTGGTTTGTGTTCTTTTTTTTAAGATTTGTTTTATTTTTATTGGAAAGTCAGATGTACAGAGAGGAGGAGAGACAGAGAGGAAGATCTACCATCTGCTAATTCACTCTCCAAGTGGCTGCAATGGCTGGAGCTGAGCTGATCTGAAGCCAGGAGCCAGGAGCCTCCAGCCTCTTCTGAGTCTCCCACATGGGTGCAGGGTCCCAAGGCTTGGGCCGTCCTTGACTGCTTTCCCAGGCCACAAGCAGGGAGCTGGATGGGAAGTGGGGCCAGCAGGACAAGAACTGACACCCATATGGGATCCTGGCTACTGTGCCTAGCTCTTTTCTTTTAATATATTTATTGAAAGAGATACGGAGAGACCTTTCACCCTCTGGTTCACTTCTCAAATAGTAGCAGTGGCTGGAGCTGCACATCTTAGAACAGCTGAGCTGACAGAAGCCAGGAACCAGGGGCTCCCTCTGGGTTTCCCACATGGCTGCAGAGGCCAAGGACTCATCCCCTGCTTTCCCGAGCGATAAGCAGGGAGCCTGCTAGACAGTGAAGCAGCCTGGCCTGAACTGTCCTTGTGGCATCAAGACAGCTTGGGGGCCACGCCATTGGCTGTAGTACCTACCTGGTGTAGAAATGATAGCTAATTGGTGAAACTTCTGGATGTTTTGATACATACGTTCTTATCTAAGTCCTGTTGACATTTGGATCAGATAATTCCTTTCACTGGATTGTACATATTGTGGGGTAATTAACAGTACTCTTTGCCCCTGCCTACCTGGTAGCAGAAGCTCTCCCAGTCCCCCTTGTCTGGAACTATTGCCAGGTGTACTCTTGGGGTGCATAACCTGGCTGAGAACTGCTTCATTAATTACAATTCTGATGCCCTTAGAAAAGTGATATTAATACTTCTGGTCAGATGCTCATTTGGCTAAGCTAAGTTCTGGGTGTCAATTTCAGCAATATGAAAGTGGAGTAACCAGTACCGTAGACCTTGCATTCATGCTGCGTTCAGAGAATGTTGTTAAAGTTACTGAAAAGAGATTTTACAAGAGTACAGCTTTCCTTCCAAGTGTTTGTGGGGGTTGTCGCAAGAGAAAGAATTGGAGTGGTATCGTTTTGTCATTAACAGGTAGAACTAGGATCTGTTGGTGGATGTGTAATACTGTGTAGCAGTGGTTCTCAGTGTGATCTGTGGATGCTTGAGATGGGGAAGGGAAACTCGCTGAGATCCTTACAAGGGTATGTAAAATCCAAACTGTTTGCCTAATGCTGAGATGTTTTTTTCAGGTTGACATGTGCCCTGTACCCACCTTAGAAACAATTAGGGCAGAGGCCCCATTTCATGTGTAATTACTGTACTTCTTTACCTAGTATGCAGAGTTTTAAAGACAGATCCTGGATAAAGCGTTAATTTCATTGGATTGAGTTTATCTTTATTTTAAAGACGTTTTTGTGTTTACATATTTGAGAAGCAGAATGGTGGAGACACATCTTGTATCAACTGGTTCATTCTCACCGGAAGACCTGTGCTGCTGCTGCAACCACTAGGTGTGGGCCAGGCTGAAGCCACAAATAGGGACTCTGCCTTACAGGGACCCGATTGCGAGGCTGCTCTTGCGCTGTCCTTCCAGGCACATCAGCGGGGAGCTGGGTCAGAAACGGAGGAGCTGGAATTGTCACTCTCATTGGATGTCTCAATCTGCTGTGTCACTACAGCGGCCCAGGGTTTATCCTTTTTAATATGCTGTGAGTGTGGAAAGTAGATTGTTTTTGAGAAAGCACTTGAAGAGCTCAACTAGTGTGTTTTTTCATAAAGCTCTATTTGCATCTCAGAAAATTTGATTTAAAAAGAAAACACTGCAGGCAGCCTAACCATAAAAAGGGGTAGTTTTATTTTGACTCATGATTTTGGAGAATCTTGGTTGAAGGACCCGTGGCTCCTGGTGATGGTGTTCTGAGATGTGCAGTCGCCGAATGGCCACCTGTTGTGCAGCCAGGATTTAATTATGGAGACTGCACCCAAGTGGACTCCAGGGTCTCCCTGAAAGCCCACCTCTAGGCTCCAGACTAAGGGGGTGTCTGTCCACTCTCCAAGAACCAGCAGTGGAAGATTTGGGGGGCCAAACCTTGAAGACATGGACCTTTGGGAAGACAGGCAATACAGAGATGAGTAGTCAAACAGTGAGCCTCTGACCTGAGACTTGAGCAGGCATTTACCCGAGGATGAAGGGAACCCAGTAGTTCAAGGAAGATAACTAACTGCTAGAGTATTTGTGGCCAGTGAAATGTCCACATTTTCAGGGCAGATGTTGTGTTGTAGTGGGAGAAGCTGCTCCTTGGGGACACCATCTGCACCTCCCCTTATCTGGTTCCAGTTCCTGTTCCTCTGCTTCTAATCCAGCATTCTTGATAAGGTGTCGGCGGGGAGGCTGTGCCTGGGTTCCTGCCCCAGATGAGTTCTGGGCTGCCGCCTTGGCGCTTAGCTCTAGCTGTGGGAGCAGCAAATGAAAAGCCAGCTTTTCTCTCCTTGCTCTTGTTCTCAGTCACATTGCCTTTTAAATAAAAACAAAAAATGAATTTTTAAAAGAAAGTTTTCAAGCGAAAACTTTAGTTTGGCAAGTTCATTTCTGCCTTTGTGAACTTGACAGCTTCTTTCTCCTTTAAGATGGTTTTGATGAAATTGATGAGGATAGTATTATTTCTCGGGTATTGTGTAATGTGCTAGTATTTACAAGATGCATGTGACAATGTACCTGTGTGTTCCAAGTGATCCATCTTGTGTAATAAGCTCCTGAGAGTGAAAGGGGCTTTGACGTGCGTTGGGGGGTCTGGCCCTTGATGCCACTGGAGTAAAGGAGTTCATTATGTGTTCAGCTTTTAAGAATGTGCTTAACCGTTTCTGGGCCTTTTGACTAATATCAATGAAGATGCTACTTGTAATTTTGATGTAATATCAAACTCTCCACGATTAAATTTAACATTGGTATGATACCAGCTCTTTTTTTCTTTTTTAAAGATTTATTTTTATTACAAAGTCAGATATACAGAAAGGAGGAGAGATAGAGAGGAAGATCTTCCGTCCGATGATTCACTCCCCAAGTGAGCGCAACGGCCGGTGCTGAGCCGATCTGAAGCCAGGAACCAGGAACCTCCTCCAGGTCTCCCACGCAGGTGCAGGGTCCCAAAGCATTGGGCCGTCCTCGACTGCCTTCCCAGGCCACAAACAGGGAGCTGGACGGGAAGTGGAGCTGCTGGGATTAGAACCAGTACCCATATGGGATCCTGGTGCGTTCAAGGCGAGGACCTTAGCCGCTAGGCCACGCCACCGGGCCTGATACTAGCTTAATATCAAATGCTTTAACTAGAACAATTATTTTTGCAACCATTGAATGTAGAAGCAGAGGATCTTTGTTTTAGGCAGATTTAGAAATATCTGCTAAGTTGAAAAAGTCATATTTTTTAAAGATTTATTTATTTTTATTGGGAAGTCAGATATACAAAGAGGAGGAGAGACAGAGAGAAAGATATTCCGTCCACTGATTCACTCCCCAAGTGACCACAATGGCTGGTGCTTCGCTGATTCGAAGCCAGGAGCCAGGAACCTCCTCCACTGCACTGGGCCTGAAAAAAGCCATTTTTACCGAATTTTTTGGTTTGGGAAATGTTTTTTAAGTTAAAGATGTAGTGAGTTTTTTGTTAAATGAATACTTATAATTTTCTGTTTAAGGGCCTGGCACAGTAGCCTAGCAGCTAAAGTCCTCCCGTTCCATGTGCTGGGATCCCATATGGGTGCCAGTAAAATCCGGGCAGCCCCACTTCTCATCCAGCTCCCTGCTTGTGGCCTGGGAAAGCAGTCGAGGATGGCCCAAAGCCTTGGGACTCTGCACCCATGTGGGCAACCAGGAGGAAGTTCCTGGCTTCAGATCAGCTCAGCTCCGGCCATTGTAGTCACTTGGGGAGTGAATCATTGGACAGAAGATCTTCCTCTCTATCTCTCCTCCTCTCTGTATATCTGATTTTCCAACAAAATAAATATTTTAAAAAATGCTATACTTTTTTTTTTTTTAAGATTTATTTTTTATTGGAAAGGCGGATATACAGAGAGGAGAGACAGAGAGGAAGATCTTCTGTCCGATGATTCACTCCCCAAGTGAGCGCAACGGCTGATGCTATGCCGATCCGAAGCCAGGAGCCTCTTCCAGGTCTCTCACGCGGGTGTAGGGTCCCAAAGCTTTGGGCCGTCCTCGACTGCTTTCCCAGGCCACAGGCAGGGAGCTGGATGGGAAGCGGGGGGCCGTCGGGATTAGAACCGGCGCCCATATGGGTTCCCAGGCGTGCAAGGCGAGGACCTTAACCACTGCGTTTTTCCGTTAAAATGTTCAGTGAAATAAATATTGGCCGTCATAGTCTATGTAAATAAATTTTTTAGTGTACCCAATGAATTTGTAAGAGTTGGTCCTGAGATGGAAAGGTTTTGAGAGCTTGCTTGCTGTTCTGTGCCCAGTGACTGGAGCTGCTTTGAACACGGGCTGGAAGGAAACGCACACCTACATTTATGTCTTTTTTGTTGTTAATGGAAACAAGTGTATTAAAAAATTAGGAGTTCAATGATCAGATTTTAAGGTTCAGAGGTTTGTTTTTTTCTCTTGAATGGTTTGCCAGTTCAGTGAATGTTTCTGGTTTTGGAATGTGGTGTTAGATTTTTGAATTTGTTTTGTCATCATGCTTTTTGGTAGAGAAGTTGGAAGGGAAGATACTAGGAGTTGGATACATTTATGGGCATATTTAGTTCCCATTCTTTGATTCCTAAACACCCAAGTGAAAGACTTTTTGCTTGTTAACTTCTCAGATGTTTTTGTTACCAGAGCATTCCACCCCTTGGCAAGTTAGCTTTAAGTTAACACTGCAGTTGCAGGTCTGGTTGCATCTAGGCAGGTTTGTAAGAACTGTGGAGATGAGGCCATTTGGAATGCTAGACAGAGGTGTTTCTCAGTTATGTGTCTTTGAAAGGCAGATTTACGGAGAGAATGACAGAGAAAGATCTTCCATCTGCTGGTTTACTTCACAGATGGCCGCAGTGGCCAGACAGGGCTGGTCTGAACCAGGAGCTTCCTCTGGATCTCCCACGTGGGTACGAGTTCCTAAGGCCTTGGGCCATCCTTCGCTGCTTTCCCAGGCCCGAGCAGAGAGCTGCATGTGGGCAGTGGAGCAGCCTGGGCACACACCATTGCCCTTGTGGTATACTGGTGCTTGAAGGTGGACAAGGGTTAGTTCTTGAGCCACGGCACCAGACCCATTTTTTTTGTCTTTTGTTTTTTAGGGAGAGGGAGAGATATGAAATATGAGATGAGTTAGCGATACCTTCCATTGTTTGGGCTGTTCCCCAAATGGTTGAAACTGTTGGGGCTGGGCCAGGCTGAAGCCAGGAGCCCAGACCCTCTTCCAGGCCTCCCACACAGGTTCAGGGTCCCAAAGCATTGGGCCGTCCTCGACTGCCTTCCCAGGCCACAAGCAGGGAGCTGGATGGGAAGTGGGGCCGCTAGACAGAGTCAACTTTTAAGTTCCAGTGTTTTGTTTGTGGAGCGCTCAGATATTCCATGACTCACTGGTAGCATTAACACGAAGGACGTTATGTAGTTCATGTGGAGAGTTTACTAGACTGTAGAACTGAAGTTTTTAGTGTACATTTTTGAGGCCTTTGTGTGCTACTTTGAAAGTTTTTCCTTGTTTTTTTTTTTTTTTTTAATTTTGGGTTGCAGACTGGAAGAATTGTGTAATATTCACTTTGTAGAAATTTAAATGTTTAAGAAAGAAAAGTGTGTGGAGACTTAGAATCCTTCTGTAACACAATTGTCTTTATATGTTATTTAGAAATTAGCTTCTTAATGACAGTTATAATTTTGGGGTGCTTCATTTTGGTCATCATTATTTAAATTGCATTTTCTAGAGATAATTTACATAATATGATTTAATACATTTTGACTTTTTTCTGACATTTTCCTGCTTCTTCGGGTTCTTTATTTCTTTTCCAATTAGTTATCCATGGACTAATTTCTTAGTGAGCAAATATGTTATCTTAGCTGCGTGTTTTCCTGTAAGGTACTATCATTGCATGATAAGGTTCTGTGAAAGAGATTGTTAGTTCTGTTAGGAATTAAAATTTAATATGCATTGAGACGCTTCAGAGACCTTTACAGGGGTGGAGTGGGTTCCCAGTGTCTGCTTTCCCCTCTTTTGGGGGTACCCCTGGGGGGTGCACACTGCTCATTTAAAGCTTATTTTTGGGCCATATATTGACCTGTTTTCTACATCTGTGCACCTCTAACCCAGGAGTGACTGGAAATTTATTTTTAGTTAGTTTTTATATTCCAGACATTTTTGGCTGATGTAACAGTAGCCTTCCGTTTGAATCCTCTGTTCTAGTATTTAAGGTTTTTTTTTTTTTTTTAAGATTTATTGGTTTGAAAGGCAGAGTGACAAGGGACTCAGAGGTGAGATCTTCATCCACTGGTTTAGTTTACAAATGTCTGTCTGGTCTCCCAAGTGAGTTAGCACTTTGAATCCATCGTCCGCTGCCTTCCCTGTAGAGGGGACTTGATGGACAGCGAGGGAGCAAGGGCTGGGCCAGGTGCTCTCAACTGCCCGGCCACAGTGCTTACCCCCGCTCTGCCAGGTGTGTGTTCCACTGATTTCAAACCATGTATTGTGTCCTTGTGATTCATTCACTTAATGTGTGTGCTTGCTTGAGTTAGAGGTGTGTGCTATATGTGCATATAACATAGTTATGTTACATGTAGACTTTCTTGAAGTAGAAGGAACAAATAAGTGGATGTTTCTCGTAACTCATTATACAAAGCTGGATGATGGAAGTATGTTTTCGATAAAGTTAAGATTTCCAACTTACATATGATTTGTTTTGCCATCACCATGTTAATATTGAAAGTAATGTAGACAGTAGTCATTTTGTGAAATTAGGAAGGACAAACTTTTAGGAGTTTAGAAATTTGATCCTGCTTTTGTAATATTCTGATAAGGTAGTTGAAGTAGAGAGCTTTCCAAGCAGTGTGTGTGTGTGCGCACAAACGTGTGCGTACACTTGACAAGGAAAGATTGGAGGATTTAATTTAAAAAAGAATGGAAAAGTTAAGAGAAGTCTTATGAAATATGAATGTCCATTCTTCATAATAGTAAGACTTCTCAATTGAATTGGTAATGAATTGGCCCCTGGGAAAGAATGCAGAGGACCCCAAAGTAAGTCATGTCCTGGTCCTGACTATCTATTCAGTTTAAATTAAATGAGTAAAGTCCGACATGAGTGGGTTAGTGCAGTAGGTAATAAATTAAAACCGTAATCATTATAAAATGTTAGTAAAGTCTGAAGGGAAAATCGAGATAGTGTGTGAGCGCAGTGGGCAAGGCTGGCTGTCGGCGCCTGCTCAGTGCTCTGCAGGGGCTCCTGGGGTCAGGAGGTGTTACTACCAGGAGTCAACACCATGGGGATGTGTGCAAATGCTCTCTGGGTCTTCCCTGCAACGTTGTTGGACCCAGTATTGTTTGAATAAATATTCACGTGAAAGTGGGAAAAATATATTTAGGTTCTGGGAGAAAAATATAGTTTCTTGTGTGTGTGAAATTACATTTTTTGAAAGATTGATTTATTTTTCGTTGGAAAAACAGGAGAGACAGAAAGATCTTTCATCTGCTGTTTCACCCCAAAAATGGCTGCAACTGCCAGAGCTGAGCCAGTCTAAAGCCAGCAGCCAGGAGCCTCTTCCAGGTCTCCTACACGGGCGCAGAGTCCCAAGGCCTTGGGTCATTCTCCACTGCCTTCCCAGGCCTTAAGCAGGGAGCTTAAGTATGGGAAGTGGAGCAGCTGGAATATGAATCAGTGCACATTTAGAATGCTGGCGCTTGGAGGTGGAGGATTAGCTAGTTGAGCCAATGTGCCGACCCCTGAAAGAAGCAATTTCTTTCTTTTTTTTTTTTTTTTGAAGATTTATTTTTCTTTATTGGAAAGTCAGATTTACAGAGAAAATGAAAGAGAAAGGTTTTGGATCTGCTGATTCACTCCCCAAGTGACCACAACAGCCGCAGCTGAGCTGAGCTGAAGCCAGGAGCTTCTACCAGGTCTCCCATATGGGTGCAGGGTCCCAGGGCTGACCAAAAGCAGGGAGCTGGATGTCAGGTGGAGCAGCCGGGACATGAACCGGTTGCCCATATGGGATCCTGGCAAGTGCAAAGCAAGGATTTAGCCACCGAGCCGTTGAGCTGGGTTCCTACACGTTGTCTTAAGAAACAGAATTTGTAGGAAATCAACTGATCTGAAGTTAGTCTTTTTCTTTTTTAAAGATTTATTTTTATTGGGAAGTCAGATACACAGAGAGGAGGAGACAGAAAGTAAATCTTCCATCTGCTGGTTCACTCCCCAAGTGGCTGCAATGGCCAGAACTGAACCGATCCAAAGCCAGGGGCCCGGAGCCTCTTCTGGGTCTCCAACACGGATGCAGGGTTCCAAGGTTTCGGGCCATCCTCGACTGCTTTCCCAGGCCACAAGCAGGGAGCTGGATGGGAAGCAGGGCTGCCAGGTTGTGAACTGGTGCTCATATGGGATCCCAGTGTGTGGAAGCGAAGTGAATTTCCTACGCTTTAAAACTTGTAGATATTTTTACCAGTTGTATTGAAATCTTGGTGGTTTTACATATTTGAGCTTCTCGTAAAATGAAAGGTCTTTTAAAATAACACTGTTATTGAAGTATAAATATCTGAGTGAAAATCAGTAACCTGGCATCCTCGCGTGAATATTATTATTTTTCCCCAAGTATGCTCGCTTATGCTCTTCATCCCATTGTCTGTGACTTTTATTCATTATAAGTCAAATGCCGAATGCCAGTTGGAACTCTAGTGATGGTAAATATTGTCATTGTCTTTTCTAAAACAGGAATATTGGGGAGAGGCACACACTGACTTCTCTCCCCAAATGATGAAGTCTGTGAAACCCTGGGCTAGGCTGGGGGGAGAGCCTCTGTGCTGGGCGCCCAGTGCCTGCTCTCCGGGATGCCCTGGCCGGAAGCTGAGCTGGAAGTGGGCACTGGGACTTGGCCAGATGAGCTGCTTGAAACAGTGGCTTGAGCGGCTACCCACAGTTCTGGCCCTGCTTTTGGTTACTTGTAAGAAGACATTTTTTGAAAGTAAAAATGTTGTAGATTGTGGCAGGGAACCAGCTGTTAAGTCGTGTTTTTCCGAAGTGGTTTTTCTGATGCTGCAGATTTATTTCCCATTACGATGTTTTTGGCAGTAATTCTGTCCCGTTCCGTTGTAGTCCAGTTACAACGCAGGGATCACAGCAAGCGCAGCCGCCCCAGAAGCACTATGGCATTACTTCTCCTATCAGCCTAGCAGCCCCCAAGGAGACCGACTGCATCCTCACCCAGAAGCTCATCGAGACTCTGAAGCCCTTTGGGGTGTTTGAAGAGGAAGAGGAACTGCAGCGCAGGTGAGTAGCTGTGTGTGTGTGTACTGTTTAACTTACAATGTTTAATAGTGTTCCTACATGAAAAGGCTTGGGTTGTTCTCCCGAAATCTGCATGTCCCAGTACAAGTGTTACATAGGAGAGAAAACATGTAGTTTTCTTTGTCTTGAGTCGGATTTTTGGTGCTTTTGATTATTATAGTACAAAATTGTTAGGAGAAAGGGGAATATCTACCCAGTGTAACAGGCCTGTACAGGCTAACTTTATTTAAGTACTTTGCTTCTCATCACTGAAAAATTTAGAATTTATAAGCCACCTGGTAAAACACATTTTTTCATTTAATCAGATACATTTAATCAGTAATGACTTGATACTTGATTGATAATTGCTTTATCAACAGGATTTTAATTTTGGGAAAATTAAATAACCTGGTTAAAGAGTGGATACGAGAAATCAGTGAAAGTAAGGTAAGGTGACTTTTTTGTGTATGAAATGATTTGCCATGTGCAGGCAGCTGGGAAGTCACGCGTGACAGTTAGCTGACGGAGTCTGGCAGGTCTAGAGTCTAGCAGAGTCATTGGACTTGATAACAGCTGCTCTCCACAGAAACATTACCTAAGAGGTTGCTACTCTCTGAGGAATCCTGCAGTAAACACATCCAAGCGCTTTGTTAGACTCTCAACTTGGAGTATCTTAGTTTTTTAGCAAGATTATTCTGTGAGTTCCTAGAACGTTTTTCTCAATACTTAGATACAACTCACGCATTCCTGACATTGTGCTTCTGGTGAAGGAACTGTATTTTGTCCGTGCAGTGAATTTGACCCACTTTTAAAACACCATAAATAATGACAAATTTTCCAGAGTATTACAAAATCCATGTTTGATATCTATTAGAACTGAAAAATTGAGGGAAAGAGAACCAAGAGTGGGAGAGAACCTCAGTAGCACAGACTGTCGGCATAAAAGGAAGTTCAGGGTTTTGGTTTTAGCCAGACTTGTAAAGGCTTCTGGCTTTAAACAGTATTATATAGTTCAAATGGCTGACCAAAACTTGAGCAACTAGAATGTTTATTGTTGACTTTATGAATGGAATGTAGGTTTTTGAAAAAGAAATTATGGAGCTGAGCAAAGATGTGTAAGTCTAAGGATTTTTAATTGTGTTTTGAACTTAGTGTTAACTTTCTATAGGAAATTTAGTCCATTTTGAGGGATTTTTCTTAACTGTTGAAATTTAAAACCCTAGTCAAATATTTTAAAAAAAAAAGGAAACTTTACGTTTCTTGCATTAGTAATTGTTGATTCATTTTGTTCTTTTTTTCCTGAGGGTAAGAAAAATTGCTAGTAATTTATGCTTAGCCTGCTCATCTGCACAGCTCTGTAGGTTGCCAGTTGAAGAGGTGAGGTTTGGCAGAGTTTGGTCATGTGTGGAGAGAACTTCCTTTCTCGATGTGAGCAGTGGTGATCACCTGTGGGGACTCACTGGGGCCCTGAGGACGAGAGGCAACGTGCCTGTCCTCTTTCTAGTCGGGTCACTGCCTCCTGCCCCCTCGGCTGGGCAGACAATGCCACATCAACTCTACAACTGTTAACATAAGAATGTGGAATGCTCGGGGCGGGGGCAGGAGGGGATGGCAACAGTTGTCTTGATGCATTTTTTTTCCAGAAGAGAGAGAATTCTATACTAGTGTGGGTCTTCATCAGAGACCGTTAACATTGCTTTCACAGCAGCTTAGTTGTGCTTTTGAGGTTTGCATACTCCATGTGCATTGTTGCTTTTAGTTGGGCTGTTTTTGTTGCTGTTGTTTTTAAAGCACAGTCTTGTTTGAAGCACTGTCTCATGCTCCACTGGCAAAATAACTTTTATGTTTCGGTAGAATCTTCCACAGTCTGTGATTGAAAACGTTGGCGGAAAAATTTTTACATTTGGATCTTACAGATTAGGAGTACATACAAAAGGTAAATTTGTAAAATTTATGTTGAGAAAGCTTTTGGAAATTTCTTAAAGGTTATAATAGATCTGTTTCAGTTATTTGTATGTCATGTGACTTAGGTTTGTGTGGAAGAGATAATGCTTTAAAAAGTTTAGGTTTGTTAAAAAAATACAAAATGATACCTTATACCTTTTACCATCTAGTGTAGAATTAAAATTTTAGTAACTTTAAAAATGAGTAGCTTAGAAGTTCGCAGGTAAAGTCAATGGGTTGGACAGTGTGAATACGGAACATATGTCCCTTTAGCGGTTCCCTTTAGGGCAATGTGGCTGGCTTTATATCATTTGTCCTTCTTAAAGAATATCACTTTGGAAATAGAACAACGATGAATTAAAGCTCATTAGAAGACCCGTAGATTCTCTTTTCACACTTCTGTTCATAGACAAATTGTAGTATATAACCAAGGTGAAAACAGAAATGTATATCTGGGCCCGGCACAGTGGCCTAGCGGCTAAAGTCCTAGCCTTGAATGTGCTGGGATCCCATATGGGTACCGGTTCTAGTCCTGGAAGCTCTGTTTCAATCCAGCTCCCTGCTAGTGACCTGGAGAGCAGTGAAGGACAGCCCAAAGCCTTGGGACCCTGCACCTGTGTGGGAGACCTGGAAGAAGTTCCTGGCTCCTGGCTTCAGATCAGCGCAGCTCCGGCTGTTGCGGTCACTTGGGGAGTGAATCATTAGATGAAAGATCTTCTCTGTCTTCCCTCCTCTCTGTATGTCAGACTTAGCAATAAAAATAATTTTTTTTTAAAAAAAGTGTATGTCCATGACCGTTGATAATCATGGTGGATATCCTCTGAAAGTATAGCTATTTCCTGTATGCAAAAAGATACACCATGAATATCTAACATGTAATAAATAAAGTCAGTAATTCTTACTGGACACTGAGCTAAGGTCTTAATTTTCATTATTTTATGTATTTCTCAGTACTTTTATTCTCATAATCAATAGTGTAAAATTTAAAAAGGACCATTGGGCATAAAGACTTTTCCCTTGGCATTTACTGGTAGAGATGGTGATGTTTGGGCAATCTGAGGCTGCTTCCTATCTATCAGCCATTGACCTGAGGCAGGTGTTGTGGCACAGCTGGGAAAGCCACAGCTTGGGACACCTCCATCCTCTGTTGGAGTCTTTGCCTGGGAAGCGACAAGTGATGGCTCAAGGGCTTGGGTTCTTGCCATTTAATGGATGACCTTCCTTCAGCCTGGTCCAGTGTCACTGTCCCACAGCAATGGACTTGGTGCACGGAGCCTGCGTGGACTCTGACTGATGATCAAAAGTCAAAGTTTATACACTGAGGGTCATATGGGATAAGGGAGGAGGTATTGAGCTTACCAACAAACCCATCCACTGTTTCTATACTTTTGTTTGGAACTCCTTTTGTTTTGTATGTTCTACCAAGTGTTCTCATACACATACTGTCCACTCAACTGTTCTCATACAAATGATATCCAATCAGGTATACAAAAGGTAGCCATTCGGTTGTTCTCATACAAACATTATCCAATCAGTTGTAATCCTGTGCTTGCTGACCTTCTAGGGTCACAGTGTCCTCCTACAGTCCAGCTCTAGCATTAGAGAGTGAACCAGCAAATGGAAGATCATTCCAGTCTGTCACTGCCTGCAAATAAATAGCTATAACAGGGTGTGTTCAGCAGCGAAGTATGCTGTGTGTTTGGATACGTGTCCCTCTCTATTCCCCATTACTTTGTCCCCAGGAGGAGGAGTACTGTTGATTATTACACATCCTGTATAATTTTTTTTCTCCCTCTTTAAAAATATGCTAAATCTACAGCCTTTAAAGTAGTGTCTTAGCCTCTCATTTTTTAGGGAAGTAACTGTGTTAACCTGATTCCACACTTCCTTTTTTGATCCTAATTATTGATTATAATCCTTTCTGTGTTCTGTGTACTCAGTGCTGGTATCAAGTACCACATTATTGATGTAACTTAGTATGGTCTGTTTCTATAGATTTCTGTTAATAATCTCTGAAGTTTGTTTTCAATATCATACTTATGGATTAAAATTTGTAGAGGAAGAAAATACTTTTGTAAGGATTTTTTAAAAAATGAAGATGTATTTATTTTTATTGAGAGAGAAGGAGAGACAGAGAGAAAGATCTTCTGTGCTGGTTCACTCCTCAAGTGGCCGTAATGGCCACAGCTGAGCTGATTGAAACCCAGGAGCTCTTCCAGGTCTCCCATGCAGGTGCAGGATCCCAAGGCTTTGGGCTGTCCTACTGCTTACCCAGGCCACAGGAGCTGGAAGGGAAGTGGAGCATCTGGGATACAAAGTGGCACCCTGGGAATCCTGGAGCCTACAAGGCAAGTACTTTGGCCACTAACTGTGCCAGGCCCAGAAAGTGCTTATTTGTTTAGTTAATTGCTGTGACTAAGGACATCAGGATGTTGAATATATGCTTGATAGTTTTCTCTCTTCCAAGAAAATCCTGAATCACCTTTATTCGTATTCTGTTTTAGCTGGACCACTGTATGTAGAGGAAGCTACAGGGAAAAGCATGCCCTGTCTATTTCAGCTACCTCTGTTGATGGGTAACTTTTATGAAGGGATGGGGCACTTTAGAGGCTCACCAATACAATGTCAAAGAATGCTCTGATAAGATGGAGAATAACTCCCCTGTGATATTAACTAGTGATTGATGGCATTTTTAGGTGCTGATATTGATGCGCTGTGTGTTGCACCAAGACATGTTGATCGAAGTGACTTTTTCACCTCATTCTATGACAAGTTGAAATTACAGGAAGAAGTAAAGGATTTAAGAGTAAGTAGATGTTAGGATTGAAAGGGGAGGGTTTAAATTATTTAGTAAGTTGGTGGAATTTATTTATTAAGCTGTTAGAGTTTGCTAGGCCTTCTAAACACTTAAGATGGGCTTAAAAAAAAGATGGGTTTGCATTTTATTTCCAGTAAGCTTAACATGAATCTGAAAGCTCTTACACATCAAGAAATGGAGCCAAACAAAATAAGTTTCAGTGATGTGGCCTCATTCAACCCCGGGGTTTCTAAGCTGATTTGTCTGATATGTAGCCAACATGTCTTCAGGTTTGTTGCCCAGAACTATTTTCTGTCAGACATGATGCTATATTATATTAAAACAATTTCCATTTAAAAATACTTGGGATAGCAAAAGTTTGCTTCCTTCTCTTACAGGCTGTTGAAGAGGCATTTGTACCAGTTATCAAACTTTGTTTTGATGGGATAGAGGTAAGTTTCTGTGGACACTGGTTTTGATTGATGTGGGTTAAAATTATTTTTAACAAGTTAGAGATTTTTTATTTTTACTTAAAGGAGTTACAGAGAGAGAGGGGGAGACAGAAAGAGAAATTGCATCTGGTGGTTCACTCCCCAAATGGATGTAGTAGCCATAGCTGAGCTGGTCTGAAGCTGAGGTCCAGAAGCCTTTCCGAGTGTCCCTTTTGGGAACAGAGGCCAAGGCTTTGGGCCATCCTTCACTCCTTCACTGTGTAAAATCATAAGCAAGGACGTGGATGAGAATTAGAGCATCCAAGACTGAAGCTGATGTGCATATGGGATGCATGTGTTGCAGGCTTGATGTGCCATAGCACAGTACAATCATGCTGTAAGCGGGATTTTTTTGAAGGTTTATGTTTTGAAAGGTAGAGTTAAAGAGAGAGAGATTTTCCATTTGCTGGTTCACTCCCCACCTGGCCACAGTGTTTGGAACTGGGTCAGGCCAATGTAAGGAGTTTGGAGTTTCTTTGAGGTGTCCCATGTAGGTGCAGGGCCACCATTGCTTTCTCAGGCACATGAGCTGTATGGAAAGTAGAGTAGCGGGGACTTGAAGTAGTTCTTGTCTGGGATACTAACATGGCTGGCAGTTCCCTAACTTGCTATGCCACAGAACCAGCATCAACTGGTTCTTCTAAAGTTTTTATTTGTTTGAGATCCAGTTGTTACCCGGTGGTTCATTCCCTTACATGCCTGCAATGGCCTGTTTGGAGACCGTCTGGGAGCAGAGAACTCAAAGGGGCTTCTTCGTGGTGACATCACCATGCTGTCACTTCTGCTGTACTTTGACGTCCAGCCAGGCATTGAACCCAGGCACTTCACAATGGAATGTAGGCCTGTTAGTCAGTCACTAGACCAAACACCTGCCTCATACCATTGACTGTAGTCGATTTGTAATGTAAATTATCCTATGATGCTCCATTTCCCCGAAAAGAATATTATTCATGACAACAATTTTTTTTTGTGGGATTTTATGCTACTTTTCTCAGTTCATGAGCAGGGAGCTGAATTGGACGGAAGTGGAATAACTGGGACATGTCTCCCGAATGGGATTCCGGCATTGCTGGCAGTCTTTATCTGGCATGCCGCAGCACCAGCCCCTTCAAACATTGATCTCATAAAAGGCTTGTTTATGGCAACATATTTTTGGAATTATACTCTTAGGTATAATTATGAATTCTGTGTTGAGTTTCTTTGTATGAACTTTAATAAAGCAAAAATAGTTTTGTGTTTGAATTCAATAAAGTTTCAAAGTTAGACCAAACTGTACAGATTTTGGGCTCTGTTTTCTCCACAGTGCTTTTTTCTTTTTTTTTTTTTTAAGATTTATTTATTTTTATTACAAGGTCAGATATACATAGAGGAGGAGAGACAGAGAGGAAGATCTTCCATTCGATGATTCACTCCCCCAAGTGACAGCGCAGCGGCTGATGCTACGCCGATCCGAATCCGGGAACCAGGAACCTCTTTCGGGTCTCCCACGCGGGTACAGGGTCCCAAGGCATTGGACCCTCCTCGACTGCTTTCCCAGACCACAAGCAGGGAGCTGGCTGGGAAGTGGAGCTGCTGGGATTAGAACCAGTACCCATATGGGATCCTGGGGTGTTCAAGGCGAGGACTTTAGCCGCTAGGCTACGCCACCGGCCCCTTCACAGTGTTTTTAAAGCTCTTTTTCTTTCTTGAATGACAGTGACAGGGAGATGGCCACCCTCTCACCCACCAAGTTGGAAGGGCGAGGTCTCCTGCTTGACCAGGCATGTTAGCAGAAGCTGAGCTGGCCTGGCGTCAGTGGTCTGCTCAGTCCACTGCACCTTATGCTCCTGAGCATGCCCCACAGCGCTTTGGTTTTATGTTACTCAAAACTGAATTCTAAATTCTGCTATATTAGGAGCTCCCTATTTACTCAGAGGAATTTTTGGCTAAGCATAATAGGTATATTTGCGTCATCTTCAGAAATCTTGGAATTTTAACTCATTCCATTCATTTTGCACATCAGGTAACTCAGACTTACTATGATCAAAATACAAATAGGTGTTTATGACCCATTTCATATTACCATGTTTTAAGTTTATCTAATTAATTCTAATATGGATTATTTTGAAAAATGGATAGCAGGCATTGTCATTTGAAGAGCATGGCTTTCAGGAGAAATTTTTTTTATACAAATGCCTTAAAAATAATTTTTTGGATTTGGATTTGTTTTTTCATAGATTGATATTTTGTTTGCAAGATTAGCCCTGCAGACCATTCCCGAAGATTTGGACCTACGAGATGATAGTCTACTTAAAAACTTAGACATAAGATGCATAAGAAGTCTTAATGGTATGTCAGAATCTACTTCCTTTTGCACACTTGGGTACTAAATCTTTTTTCAGATTGTTAAGTTTTAAGTTGCGACTTTTTACAGCCATATTGTTAACCTATAGTGAGTTAAATAAAATATGATGTAGCTAACAGAGTACAGAGTAATACCCAGTATGATTTAGTCCCCACATTTTATACTAGTGATTTTAAGTTGAGATGTCTAATTTTGCTGTTCATTCGTTTGCAGAGAGGTATTAAGTCAAGGGTTATATTTAAATAAATTTGTATTGGCCTTACTTGTTACTTGCTTTAGAACAATTCTTGAAAATGTAAGTGAATTGAATCCTCCTTATCAGATCTGGATAGAAAAATGTTAATAATGAGTTGCAGGTTTGAGCTAGGTGAATTTCTGTGTAGTTTCTTCTGGTTAAAGGCAGTGTTTGCAGTAGATGATAATGTGTTAGATTTGTTTTACCCCTTCTGTAAGTTATTCTTACTCATTCTACCAGAAAGTTTTTGTTTAGTTTGGTGGCAGTCTCAAAATCTAGAGTTATTGTGAAACTTTTGGTGATTAATGTTTTATTTTTCTATTCCTATTAATTAGGTTGCAGGGTAACCGATGAAATTTTACATCTAGTACCAAACATTGACAACTTCAGGTTAACACTGAGAGCTATCAAACTGTGGGCCAAACGTGAGTTCAGCATTTGTTGGCTAGCTTATTTAAGAACTTTAAACCTTTCTTCAACACTAACTTTATCTTTTTGCTTTTTCCTTGTCAACAGGCCACAACATCTATTCCAATATATTAGGTTTCCTCGGTGGTGTTTCCTGGGCTATGCTAGTAGCAAGAACTTGCCAGCTTTATCCAAATGCAATAGCATCAACTCTTGTACATAAATTTTTCTTGGTATTTTCTAAATGGTATGTGTTTAGATTATATTTAAATAAAATGATTGTAGACACTGAAGTTTAGTCTTATTTCTATGACATTTCTGCAGTTGCTTTGAGGTTCAAATTTTTAGTTCATAATATAGCCACTTAGATAGCCTTGGGAAGATCATGTTGTATAGAGAAGGATAGGCCTAAATTCCATTCATTTTCCCTAGCTGTTCCAATGTGGTAAGGCAGGTTCCATTTGTAATTCCTTGGCATAAGCCTACCCTCCATATAAAATGTACATTCTAGCTGTAATCTTTGTTTAAATGCATTTTTTAGAATATTGATTTATTAGATACTTTTGGATAGCACTTGTACACACTGCTGAACTCGCCGAATTTTTCTAAATTTATAGACCAGTAGCTTTTCAGTATTTTTCTCTTTGCCATTTGTTTATCTTTGATAAAATATTAAAGGTATATATTTTATACAAGGTTCAAATGGTTGGGGAGAAACAGAAGCCATTGGTGGTAAGCCTTTGGGATTAGTTATTACCTAGGCAATGTCCCTCACATTCCTAAAAGCTCCTTTATTTTAGGATGATTACATTTGTCAACTGTGACTTCTTTCTCCCTCCTTTTTTCTTTGTTTTAAGATTTATACATTTTTACTTGAAAGGCAAAATTACGGAGAGATGTCTTCTGTCCGTTCCTTCAGTCAGAGAGCTTCCATCTGCCTGTTCACTCCCTAAATGGCACAGCAGCCTTTCCTGGGCTGGCCCGAAGCTGTGACCTGGGGAACTCTTTTGGGTCCCCCTCATGGGAGCAGGGCCTGGGGACTTTGGCCATCCTCCTCTACTTTCCCAGGCTTTTAGCAAGGAGCTGGATGGGAAGTGGAGCAGCTGGGACGTGTGCTGGGACACCTACACTGCAGGCAGAGGCTTAGCTTGCTGTGCCGTGACATTCGCCCCTAATTGTGGTTTCTTTTAAGAAAGATTGCTGCTGCTTTCTGTTGGTTGCTTTAGCCCAAAAGATGATCGTTTTTGGTTTCCTTGATTTTAACTTAATAACTTAACCCTCTTCTGGCCTGTTTCTATTCTTGCTCCTCTTTCCTCTATAATAAGAATTTTAGTAGTTTCATAAAAATTAGTTATTAAATACATTAAGAATCATGTCACATTATTCAGTATACTGTTCTGGAATTTAAGATGGCAGCACATTTTCATCATTTATAATCAGATAGGTAAGAATTTACACATTAAGCAAATGCAAATGGTTTGCTTTTTTTTATCTTCTGTGAAGGACTGAAGTAGCTACTTTATAAAATGCATCTTCAATACAAGACTGTTCGTGCCATAGGGTTTTGCCACTTTGTTCATCTTGCAACATTTAAGTCATGATGTTGAGGAATCTCCCTGATTTAATTATTCATGCTGCTTTGTGTGTAATCAAAAGTAACTTTTTCTCAGTTGTCTTTGGATGTAGCCAGTATAAAAGCAGCATTTGTGTCTTTGAAAGGGATTTACCTTGCTCAGATTGAACGTGAACATACTGCATATTGTGGGGTGGAGCTTGATTTAAACTAGTGCTTTATCATTTCTGTGAGAGACAGATTTGTCTGACTTCGTTGTGAGGCGGCTACCAAATGGTTGAATTTAATTTCATAGAGAATAAGTATTTCAGGTAATATAATCTCAGCAGAACGGAATGAAAGGTTATATAGACCGGCAGGGAAAATGGAAGAAGGATCGCATTCACAAATGCTGTATGTTTAACAAAATACGTTTAGCTGATGATATCCAATAGTCTTATCGAGTGCTACAATCTTTTTAAACAGGGAATGGCCAAATCCAGTGCTATTGAAACAGCCTGAAGAATGCAATCTTAATTTGCCTGTATGGGACCCAAGGGTTAGTGTATTATTTTTTCCCCTACAAATTCACACTGTGCAATAAGAAACATCTGCATAAACTCCAGGGAGACGTCTCAGGGTTTTACCTGTGGTTGGACATGTCCGTATTACACTTGAATTTAGTAATTTCATCTAGAACTGTCTTCTTATGTTAGAAGCGTAATTATGTACCATGTAAAATCTCATTTATTTGTACAAAGATTTTAATACTAATTTAACTAGCAGTTTATATAGGAATTACCTTGTAAGTCAAAGTTGTTTGGGTGTTCGTTCTTTAAAAACAAAACAAAAAATAAAAAGATACTAAAAACCTGTTTTTTTTTTTTTAAATCTAAAATATTTTTGGTGGAAGTTTGGTTGTTGTAGGAAAGCTGTTGCTTAATGTTTACATGTGGCAGATGACTTCTAAGCAATATCACTTTAATTACCGTGTTGTTATTGTAAAAATTGGTTTAGGTATTTCAGAGATTATAAAAAATGTGGTTGAACTAAAAAGCTTCCATTCTGTTCATGGGGAAGTTGCAGCATTTATTGCTTACTCACTTTAAATGTTAGTAACTTGCATTTTGTTAATTGAGAAATTCAGGTTAGGGTAAGATTCTATTTTTAATTAAATTGCTACGTGATAAATCAAAAACTTTGTTTTACATTCTGTTGCACTACATTAAGCTATGTGATTTTTAGGTTTTCCAAGGCATTTTAGGAAGATATGAGTCTATGTTTTCCTATGTGGAAATAGACCACTTACACGAGTGGACTGATTGACATTAAAGTTCGTTGCTTGTATTGCCTCTTGAAGCAAACATCAGCATGGATACTGTAGTTTCACTGCCTCATAAGCTTAAGCTATAAGTGTGTTAGATGCTTAGTTCCAATCTTGCTGAAGGTTAGTTCTCTCCGGAACACGTTGCAGTATGAATTTCTCTGCAGTGTCACTGTGTATGCCTCCCTGTTTGTGTTGTTGAATAAACAAAGCTGTTAGTTGAGTCCCATCCAGACAGAACCATTTATGCTCAGCAGACACACTTTTTCTAGGAAGGTTGCAAAAATAGTCATGCCAAAATGATTGCAACAAACCACTGGTTTAGATCTCTGATTCTCTGAAGAATTCACATAAAAACAATGACTCCTTCTATGGTTTTCCTTTCTCAACTCCAGCTATGAATGAAATAAAAAATGTAATCGGTTCAGTTTAACAAGGGGTTAAAAAGTCCAAGTATCTGTTGCCTATGTACTTGAAGAAACTGATTGGCTGTTGTTGTATGTAGGTAAACCCCAGTGATAGGTACCATCTTATGCCTATAATTACACCAGCATACCCACAGCAGAACTCCACGTACAATGTGTCCGTTTCAACACGGATGGTCATGGTTGAGGAGTTTAAGCAAGGTAAGTGTCTATTGTTATGCTCTCCTTTATAGATGAACAACTTACCCTTGTCAGCCCAGTAGTCTGCTTTGCAATTTAAAGCATTCAGTGCAGTGGACTTTGGTGATCATTATGGGATTACAATAATATATTTGAGAACAGACCTGAAATTAGTGTCTTGTAGAAAAAATTACTTTTGGTTGGTAAGTGAACCAACAGTTAAAATCATGTCTTTAGCTGGGCCATTATGGGATAACTGGGTGCCATATAGCTTTGTTAAATTTTAAATGATAGCATATGTTTTGTCTTCATTTGGTGACGGTGAGGCAAATGAAATCATCTGTGTCTTGGGGAAAGGCTTTGAGCAGGATTGGGACCAAATATCCATTATTAGAATTTTTTTCGATGGCACTTTCTTGTTAATTTGAAACTATAGTTGTGACCCAATGGCCTTTAGGGGAAGTACGTGAGTAGAATTGATTAGTTTGGACTAGAAGCAATCAAGGAAATAGAATTGGCTGTATGGCTACCAGCTGTATGAATTTAGACGTTTAATATCTTTTCCTTTCGTCCTTGGAAGTCCTTCATGGGAATGTTAGTCCTTTAAGACAACCACTTCTTGATTTTAGCAGGGCATGAAAACATTTTCCCTAGTAAGGTAACTACAGAGCTTTGAAGAAAGTTATTCTGTGAACATGGTGTTTCAAAATAATGCTTCTTTTGAAATGGAGCTCTCAGTGTCCTCCAGCGTTTTTGAGAAGTATGTATGTTAAAATATGCTCTGAAGCCATTAACTACAATTTCTATTTGTTAAAATTGTGGTATTAGGATTATAGTGAACGTATGTGGCCTATGTGTAAGGTTGTTGAAATATGGAGTTTGCTCGACTGAAACATGCAAACTAATGTGTTTTTAATTTAGGTCTTGCTATCACAGATGAAATTTTGCTGAGTAAGGCAGAGTGGTCCAAACTTTTTGAAGCTCCCAACTTCTTTCAAAAGTACAAGTATGTATTTTAAGGCATGTTGGGCATTTTGCTCTCTTAAGTAATGGTTGAATGGTCTTATGTGTCCTCTCTTGCAGCTGATCGCAATTAGACTTACAGTTAAGCATCTGTGTAAGTTTCTTTCCTGACACGAAGGACACAGATTTTTTAGTAAGCTTCTTTGGTAATGTGTTTTGATTTCTGATCTAGCTGTTACTACATTTGTAGCAACATCTGTTGTGTAGGTATATGTCAATCATGACCAAAATAGGAAATCTGTATTCCTTGGCCAGTGGGTGAACCGTTACAATCTGTGGTTCATATTGTCTTTTTAAGAAACTGAGTATTTTCATCTGTTTCTAGAAACTTGATTATGATTAAGATTCTTCATAACAGGACTACTAAAATGTCCATCTATAACCAATTAAATGCTGTCAATAATTAACAAATTGATCTGCCATTCTTTCCTAATGTTGACATAGTTCCTTCAACTATTTCTACAGCTAGCTTTGATGGGGTTTAAGTGGTACATTTTTATGGATGGTTTTAATATAATTTAATATCTTAGTATAGGTTAAAAACCTCATTGTGTTGATTTCGATGAAAACTGTACATTACAATAAATTTATTTAAAAGCAAAGAAAGAAAAACATAGACTTGCACTTTTATTTGCCCTGGGGTGAAAATTTGCCAGAGTCCCTCTTAAAAATCTTTTTTATGCTTTGAAACATTTTCTGAGCATTTGATCCTGTGTTGGGTTGTGTTTTGTAATCATTGAAGAAGATTCTTTATGCTCTTTCTCCAATTAAAAACAAGCATGGTGACCTTCACGATGTCTCTGTGTTTTGTTTCCGGATTGCATGATGAAGCAGTAGTGGAGCCAGCTTTTAATTGTTACGGTCTAGGAATACTTTATTGTCAGTAAAAGCAGTGTGATGTTGAATTCCTTTGTTTCATGCTTTTCCAACAAGTTGTGCTTTCCATTTAACAGATTATTTTCTTTTTGGTTTTTATTTTAACTAGTGTAAAGGAAGTATTCTTGAACGTTGAGTAATAGTCATACATTGATACCTTAGAATGGCAATAGAAATCAGTGTTATGTGTAAAGAGAAGCTGTAACAGGAAAGTATCAGCAGCTCTGATTCCTAAGAATCAAAGATGATTTATTTTCTCACTTTCTTGTGGGTAGGAATGCGAGTTGGATATAGTGCATGACATTCCTTGCCTTAGGGAACATTGTTGAAACTCAACAAACCATTTTATTTGAATAATTTGCATTATTAGAACTTTTTTTTTTTAAAAGATTTACTTATTTTTATTGGAAAGGCAGATATACAGGGAGAAGGAAAGGCAGAGAGAAAGAACTTCCATCCACTGGTTCACTTCCCAAGCGGCCACAGTGGCTGGAGCTGAGCTGATCCAAAGCCTGGAGCCACAAGCTTCTTCCTGACTTCCACACTGGTGCAAGGTCCCAAGGGCTATCTTCTATTGCTTTCCCAGGCCATAAGCATGAAGCTGGATGGGACGTGGAGCAGCCGGGATTAGAACTGGTGCCCATTATAGGACCCTGGCATGTGCAAGGCGAGAACTTTAGCCACTAGGCTACCGTGCTCAGCCCGCATTGTTAGAACTTTTGATGCTGTTTTTAAAGCTTTAGTCTTTAAGAAATTTTAACTATTCCTCAGTCTTTTCTGGGGGAAGATTATTTGTTTGTTTGAAAGGCAAAGTGACATATTGAGAGAACTCTCCTACTGCTGGTTCATTCTCAGCCACAATAATTGCAACTGGGCCAGACTATGTAGGTGTTTGGGGCTCAAGTGCTTGGGCTGTTCCTGCTTCCTTCCTGCATTGACAGGAAGCTGGATTGGAAGCAAAGCTGCTAGAACTCAACCTACACTCCCACAGCCCTCAGATAGGGTATGCCAAAGTCTCTTGTGGCAGCTTAACCCTATGTGCCACAGTTCTGGCCCCAAGGGGTACAACTAAGGAATTAGTATATTCCATGGAATTATGAAGAACAGTTTTAAATGTAGGGAAGGTAGCAGCAGCTAAATGCATCAGGAAAATTTAAATTTTAGACTGCTACCCTCAAAAAGTTAAGATTGTGTAATGTGGCAGCTTAATTTTGTTTTTACCAAGCTTACTTTTTAAACTCTGAAGAGTTGCCACTGAGTACTGTGATGCATGTCATTAGACTTTTGTAGTTAGGAATTTCATTAGTTGTACACCTGAATTGAGGTCCTCAGTAGTCCCTGCATTGCAAATTCACTCTTCCTCTGAGTGGATCCTCAGAGTGTGACTGTCAGGTACATAAAGAGTTTTAAATTGTGTTGAAAATGCTTGCATTTCTTGGAAGGGCAGTAACAGTTTTTTTGTTGTTGTTCTAAGAAGCAGACTTACTTTTTCAAGAAAGACACGATAAAGAAGATAATGCTAGTTTCTGAATGTATTGTTTTAAAAATTTGATGAAATACTTCTGCATTTCTCTTGCGGTAACTTAGCATTTCAAGTTAGTAGTAATGAATCATTGACACTAGGAAAGGTGAATTTTTAGGCATTAGATTTCACAATAAGGAAAAACATATTAGGAAAACCAAAATGTTTTCCACGGTGTAAAATTATAAGTTATTTCAAATACGTACGAAATAAATGAGCTATTAATTTTTCGACTAGTAAGCTTTGTCCAAAATTTCTTCAGGATACAATTAAGTTCATTTTTAAGAGAGAAATAAATTTTATGCATGTGTATAAGCTGTGATCGACACAGGTAAGCTAATGCGAGATGAAATGATTTGGAAACTTAAGTAAAGCAGGAGTGGTCTCTGCCGAGGTTGCCTGGCTGTTACCAACACCATTTTTGGACCTTTTTGTGACCTAGTGTTCCCTACCTGTTAGCAATTGTTGAATGGCAGCAAATTTTCTTTATAATTTGATGCAAATTATAGTAATTTAGGGTACATTGTTTTGTAATTTTGTTACTGGAAATATTTGGTAACCTTGAAATTTGGAGGAAGGTAATACAATTGCCTTGAAGCCTCAGTGCCACCAACATTGAGCGTCTGCGTGGTAATTGACACGTGACAGTTGTGAGATTGGGCAGTCACTGTTTTGTTTATTTCTTTGATATGTGGAAAGGCTCTGACCACTAGAGCCTTTCAAGTCTTGCCCGTGGGTGCAGAGGCCAAAGCTGGGCAGTCTGCTGCTTTCCCAGGCATCGTAGAGCGTCCTGGACTCCTGTGATGCCCGTGCCACAGGCTGCAGCTCTATCTCTACACTGCAGAATTGGCTGCAGGAATCACAGTTTGTGTTACAGCAGCATAATACTGTGCAAATTATTTCTAATTTTGTGTTCTCAAAACCGTAGAGTACAAGTTTTGTTTTTTAAAACTTGGAAATGTGATTTTTTAAAAAATGAAGTTGTAATTTTTATCTTTTGCTGAATCTTTAAACATTTTATTTATTTGAAAGCTACAATGGCAGAAAAAAAGAGAGACAGAGAAAGCTGTCACTTTGGCTTCTCAAATGGCCTGGATGGGCCTTCCTCTGCTTTCTCAGGTGAATGTGTAGGGATGGCCGTGACTGGGACCTGGTTTTGAGGAGCCACCAGTGTCCCTAGCAGCAGTTTACTCCTCTGTGCTGTAACACTGGTTCCAGGGCATGGGGTTGTAAATTTTATATTCCAACTCACATTTGCTTAATTGTAGTTTAAGCGTAAAGGGCATTTACCTTACCCGAAATACCTATAAATATGTGAATGGAAGCATTTGTTCAGACACAGAGTATGGAGAAGATACCTAGTGCTCCATCACCCTCACCCCCTGACTCTCTTTGGATTTCAGTCAGAACTGCTTAGATTTCTAGACATTAAACTTGCCTGCAGAATTATGGTAAAATGGATTGATTCTGTCTCTGAAGAATAGAAGATATTGTGCATCGTGTGAGCTTTTTTGAAGGTCAAGGTAGCCATTAAAAATGCTTGTTTTAATAGTAGTAGAGGCAATTTAGAACTCGGGGGGAGATGTCCCCTTGCTCGCTGAATCCAGGTGTTTCTGAGTTTTTATGTGCATTCTTGATTTCATACTTTGTCTGCTTTTAAAGGTTGCTGTCCTTTTCACAACTTAGAAGCCAGTGTGGCATACCCTTGTGAATGCCGCAGCACCATGCAAACCAGGGTTTGAACTTGTTGGGTTTTGATTGAGGACCCTGAGTACGGCCTTGCAGATAGATGCACGAGCTTCTGGTGCTCTCGTGTGACTGTTGGCATCGTTTGTGCTGTGCATTGCCTTGTTCTGAATAGTACGCTCAGCTGGAGCGGGAGGATCAGAGTGGACTTGGATGGAGAAGCACTATTTCTATACCTGTGTGTGTTTTCACACGAATAGAAATTCCTCATTTTTATTGATGACTGTTAGCTTAATTCAGCATTGACATGACAGTAAAGCAAGTATTTTATCCATTTTACAGATGTGTACAAGTTTTAGAACTGTCGGTTTCTTTTTCTTTTTTAGAACTGCCGGTTTGTAAGCTGTTGGAACTGTTTTTCAGATAATCTGTAAATGTAATTGATAGAGCTTTCCTAAGTGGAATATGGAACCACTTTAAAAACTTCATAGAGTGTTGAGTTGGAAGAAGTGTTTCTCATGAACATTTCCATGTTCCATTTGGTTTTTAAAATGCTTATTTTGGGCAAACCTTTAGCAGCCTTTCTTCAGATGTCCTCTTCATTTTATTCATTGTGTTTTTTACCCTCTAAAACTGTGGTTACTAGTATTTTTCTCTAGCTGTAGCTTAGACTTCTGCTTTGGCTAGCAACCTAATTTGTGGTACGCGAGGAAACACTGCTCTGACTTGGAAGTGAGCAGCGATCACACATTTTGGATCACACTGTCGCTTGCCCGAAGCACAGCCATGCCAGAGAATGGTCTCTGTTTGCTTTTTAGGCAGTTGTTTGTTTGAAATTTTGACTCCCAGCATTATGAAATGTAAAATATATAGAAAAATTCATTACAGTACTTATGTTTTGATTGTGAATAGGTTGTTTGAAAAGGACTTAAAAAAAAAGACTTAAAATTTGGCTGTGTTATTTTGAGGGAGGTAAACCCTTCATTCCAGTGCAACTGAATTCTGAACAGAAATCCGATCTCTGTGTTGTCATGCTAGCCGCATCTTGTTCAAAATTCACACTCTTGTTTGGGAAAAGAGCTTAATTTCAGTGTTCAATATATTTTTCACTACAGTTTCATTTTAATTAAAAAGCATGATACATCTGATATTTTTGAGATTGCTGTGTATCTGAAGTGATGTTTGCGGGCAAAGCCCTGTTTTGTTGCTATTAAAACATTTTTGTTTTAGTAGGTTGTATTTTAGTAAACAGCTCTTTAATATTATGTAGAGTACTCCATCTGAATCATTGAACAGAGAAGATCAGTTACTGTTCAGCCTTCCTAGTCTTCTGTTAACGGTTATTCATGAACTCGCTTTCAGAGGAGTTAGTCACTGCTGCTCAGGACAGGTGGAGCCTAGTGTATCTGATACGTGTCTGTGGCAGTCCTCCTTGCACAGTTGATGTTGATCTGTCAGTGTCAAGAAGCTTACTGCATTATGGTTTAATATCCAGCACAAAGCGTGTAGAAAAAATAAATAGCCTGTTGTCTTTATCTTCAAAGGCATTATATTGTACTCCTAGCAAGTGCACCAACAGAAAAACAGCGCCTAGAATGGTGAGTATTGAGACTTGACGGAGAAAGTACACTTCAAAATGAGTAGGTTAATCACAGAACACAGTGGATGTGTGGAGGCCCTGAATGCTTGTAAAAAAAAAAATCTGATTTTATGGTTCACTTCCCAAATGGCTGCAGTAGCTGTGACTGGGTCCCGCTAAAGCCAGGAGCCTAGAAAGCCGTCCATGGAGGTGACCCAAGCGCGTTGGCCACCTGCTGCTTTCCCAGGCACATTTGCTGGACACAGGTGGGAAGTGAAACAGCACCAAGACAAGAGCCAGAGCTCAAGCTGCTTGTTGGTGTTTCAGGTGTTAGCTTACCTGGCTCTGCCACAACCCCAGCACCCGTATATTACACACAAATAATAAAAGGCATTTGAGGATCTTTATTTTTAGTTTGCTGATTTATCTTTAAATATTTGTTGCATTGGCTTCAGTGAAGTATGCTATTGTTTGCCTTCACCATTCGGTACTTTGAATAGGTCAAAAGGCCTTTAAATTTAGTTGAATTGCCTTGATATTTATGTTTTGTTATGATTTTCACTTTACATGAAATTGATTTTGTGTATTTGATTTAACCAAACCTTCCATTAATACTAAGTGAAATTTGTTCAGGGTGGGCTTGGTGGAATCAAAAATCCGAATCCTAGTTGGAAGCTTAGAGAAGAATGAATTCATCACCCTAGCCCATGTGAACCCCCAGTCATTTCCAGCACCCAAAGAAAATCCTGACAAGTAAGTATTCTAATCTTACCTAACTTCCTCCTCCCTTTTCTCAGAAGCATTTATATGCAGCTTTTGCTAGTATAATTGCTCTGTGGATGATGTGTCTCAAAACCAATTTGGAATTTTTAATTTGTTTTTCCCTGATCAGAAACACTATAGAGAATGCCTTTCCCCCCAAAATCATCACTGAAATAAGTTTCAAAATCATGTTTCTAATACTGATTGTCAATTGTATGTGGAGGTATTTAGCATTTCTTCTTGACCTCCGTTTCTCCTGCTTGTGTAGTGCTCGCTAGAACAGCTGGCTGTGGCAGATCTGAGCCCTTGCATCTTTTCTTTTTGTTTGTTTTTTACAAAAGGGACTATATTTTGATTTAACCTTGGGGACTCCTGATTTATGTTGGATTCTGGACTATGACAAAAACAATCAATAAATAAAAAGCAAGCCTACTCTGTCCTTTTAAGGATCTGTTCAGTAGTTTGCTGCTGCTTTTGTTGCTTAGTAAGAGACTCCTTTATTTAGAGGGTTAGGAGAGGAGTGTTACTTTGTTTTTAAGATGTATTTTTATTGGAAAGGGAGGTATATAGAGAGTCTTCCATCTGCTGGTTCATTGCTCAAATGGCTACAGCTGCTGAAGCTGAGCTGCTCTGAAGCCATGAGCCTCTTTCAGGTTTCCCATGTGGATATAGGATCCCAGGACTTTGTCGTCCTCCACTGCTTTCCAAGGCTACAGTCAGGGAGCTGGATAGGAAGCGGAGAAACTTTGCCAAGAACCAACATTCATATGTGATGCTGGTGCTTGCAATATTAGCCATATAAGCCATCATGTTGGCCCATGTTACTACTTTTTATTTATTTGAAAGAGTTAGAGCAAAAGAGAGAGATCTTCCATCTGCTGGCTGATTTCCCAAATGGCTACAGTGGCCAGGACTGGTCCAGGCTGAAGCCAGGAGCCAGGAACATCATCTTGGTCTCCCATATGCATGGTAGGGACCAGATAACTTCCAGCACTCATGGATTGGAAGTGGACTAGGTGAGCCATGAACCTTCATGTGGTCACTGGGATGCCCGTGTCACATGGGGAGACCTCACACTGCTGCTACTACTATTAGTAAGCTTTTAAGACAATAGAAGCAAATTAAAGACAAATTTAAAGCTAACAAGTGGAAGTATCAATAAATTTTTTTCTCTTGGAAAAATCATAAAAAAGTTGTTAACTTTTCACAATTTTTTGGTTATTGCTGTTTTAATTATTAAGTCTGATTGGAGGCCAGTACAGAGCCATAGATCTTGCACCTGCTGGTACTGCATTCTGTGTGGGCCCTGGTTTATGTCCAGGTCTTCCACTTGGCCTCCAGCTCTCTGCTTATAACCTAGAAAGCAGTGTAGGATGATGACTCAAGCTCTCTGGCCTTTACACCCTGTGGGAAACCCAGAAGCTCCTGGTTCCCGCTTTAGGATCATCTCGCCTCTGGAAGTTATGGCCATGTAGGGAGTGAACCAACACATAGATCCGTTTTTTGCTATTGCTGGAAAGCCGGGAGCTTCTTCTGGGTCTCCCACGTGGGTGCAGGGGCTCAAGGGTATGGGCCATCCTCTGCTTCTTTGCCACGAGCAAATCAGGGAGCAGGTTGAGACGTGGAGCAGTGGAGACTGGGACTGGCTGCCGGCAGCGTGGGCTGCTGTGACACAGCGCCAGATCTTTGAGCTTTGCTGATACTTGTTGCCACAGTTTACTGAAACTTCTATTTGTTCATTCATGTTTGTTTTGCAGAGTATTGCACAAAACTTAGGTTGCCATCCACATTGATAGCTATGTTTTCATGAAAGTGTGATAAATTACGATATTATTGTTCTTTTCAGGGAAGAATTCCGCACGATGTGGGTGATTGGGTTAGTGTTTAAAAAAACAGAGAACTCTGAAAATCTCAGTGTTGATCTCACCTATGACATTCAGTCTTTCACGGATACAGGTATGTGTGTGTGCGTGATTAAAACACCCAGGAGCTTGTGTATTGGAGTTTGCCCTCATGTGCACAGTAGTTAATGATATCTGCAATAGTTACTGATATTACTTGGGGCTATTAAACAGTCATCATCAAAGTTTTATTTATTTTTTTAATTTTAAAAGTTGATTTGAGAAGAAATGCTTCTATTCACTGGTTTACCCCCTAAGTGCCTGAAATGGCCAGAATGTTGGAAATAGAAGTTGGGAATACCTGGTTGGGTGACAGGAAGCCAGCTGCTTGCGTCATCCCCTGCCTTGTGGGCTGCCCTTGGCGGTGGCTGACGGGAGTGTCTTCACCACCATCAAAATAATCCGGAATAACTGTGTGGGTAACCAATATCAGTGCTGATGTACAAGTGACTGTTCTCCGATGTGGAGGACTTTCAGGTTGACCGTACCATGAGGTAAAGTAGTGTGCTGCAGCTGGTGGGTGCTGCTGAGAGGGTAGGAGGCTTTAGGAAAGGCAATGCTGCAGCTGGTGGGCGCTGCTGACAGGACAGAAGGCTTTTGTACAGATGCACTTGGCCTTTCAGGGAATGGACTGTGCACGTGGACAGCTGACTTTATTCCAACTCAGACGCTGTTTCTGATCTCTTTCAAACATCTCTGCCTTCTATTTTAAAGCATTTCAGTAAGAGACTGTTTCACTTGTCCACTATGAAGAGTTGTCCCTGAGAACATTGAGATATAACAATAAATTAGAAAAATTTTTCTTCCAAAGGTTAGGATTATGTTGAGAAAAGTAGGGAGAGAGAGAGATCTTTCATTTGCTAGTTCACTCGCCAAGTAGTCACAGTGGCTGGAGCCAGGCCAGTCTGAAGCCAGGAGCTGTGAGCCTTTTCTGCGTCTGTTGGATATGGGTGCAGGGGCTCAAGGATTAGCCCCTTCATTGCTTTTCCCAGGCCATTTATAAGGAGCTGGATTGGATGTAGAGCAGCTGGGACTTGAACTGGCGCCTAAATGGGGTGCTGGCACTACAAGTGGAAGCTTAACTTGCCGTTACACAGTACTACTGCCATCCAGCATTAAATTACTTTTATGTGCTTAGAGAAAATATTGAAGACTGTTTGTTAAACAGTATTTGTATGTTTTAATTGTAATATAAAGGAGAATGAAAAGAATATAGTGTAGTGCCTTTCTCTTATCCACAGTCTTCCATTGGTTTCAGTAACTTTATTCTGGAAATATTACAAGTTTGGGAAAGGGAATTCACAACTTTTAAGAGTTTTTAACTTGTGTGCATCAAGCGCCGAGTAGTGGGGCAGAATCTGTTCTATCCTGCCGAGGACATGAGTTACTGCTTTGTCCACTGGTCCATGCTGTATCTGCTAGTTGCTCAGTAGCCACCTCCGGTTAGGGCTGTGTGAGCGCTGTGTTCAGGTAACCCTACAGCGGACTCACTGCTTGCATCGTCCACCTCAGTGCGTCTGCTCATCACCAGAAGGCTGAGTGGAGTGAGACCATAGTCAGGACATTGTGGTACATTTTAACTTGCATTGTTGGTTGCCAGTCTTAGGCACTTAATGTGTAGATTGAATCCAATATGCATAGAGACAAGCAGCGTGTGTAGGGCTTGGTGCTCTGGTTTCCAGGACTCTTGGTATTCCCTATGGATGAGATGGAGGCTGCTGTGTGTGTTTCTATCTGTGTCCACTCAGATAAATGTGGACGCTAGAAGAGACACACTTGAGTAGTTAAATTATTACACTATGTCAAAACCCTGAGCACTGTTCACATCTGTGAATTCACACTGGAGTGTTTTCTGTAGTGCTCTGATGACCATCTCCAGCACTGGCATCATTGAGGAGAGGATCGAGGGGAACAGAGGACACTCTAGTTTAGGTATTCCTGGTAGCGCTTTTGGAACCTTCAGGTCTGAATACTTTGTTTTTATGTGAAGTTGAGTTGTTTTTGGTTCAGACTGCTAAGTAGGTTTTTGCTCCTGAGGAATGTAGATAGGGAATGTACACATTGTGAAGCTGCAGCAGGTCAGGATTCCTGAGCAGTCGCAACCCTTAGTCATTGGGGTATCAGAGACAGCTGTGCAGATTTTCTTTTTAGGTTGATTTTGCTTTTATTTGAAAGGTAGAGTTACAGAGAGAAGAGAGTTTTTTTGTTTTGTTTTGTTTTGTTTTAATCTACTGGTTCAGTCCCCAAAGACCACAATGTCCGGAGCTGAGCCAGTCCCAAGCCAGGAGCCAGGAGCTGCTTCTGGGTTTCCCACATGGGTGCAGGGGCCCACAGACTTGCCAATCTGTGCTGCCTTCCCTGGTCATGGAGTTGTGTTCTTTTGAAACATTGTAATGGGATACATTGTGAGATCTTAAAATGAAATAGATATAGCATGTTCATGACACAAAATTTTACCCATAATCCCTTTGAATTGCTTTTCAGGTTGGTCAGGATAGAAATCTTGGTGTCATTTTTTTTTCTCATTTCTTCCCTGCTTACTGTTAGTTCATGATGAAATCTTGTTTGCTTATTTCTGAATACCTTGAGATTTCTCCCATTACCGCTGTTGGCTTTCAGCCTAGCTCAGGTCATTGCTATTGTTCTGTTAGATAACCACCCCTCCCTCAGCCCTTCTCCTTATCTATACAACAAGGACAGATATATGTATTCATATGCAGTGTTAAGAGCATTGATACTTCTCACCATCCACCCCTTTTCCTGCTTCCTTTCTTATTTCTCTTTTAATTTTTTTGAGGACATACTTTCACTTTGTGAACCATGTTTAATCCCCTGTAAAAGAGTCGGCAGTCAGTGGTTTGCTCGTAGGATTGTAGGTGAAGGCTACCCACAGGAAACAGGTGATGATTTAAGCCAGATCATCCCACAGTTTAACATGAAATGACCACACACCTGGGAATCCAAGTGCAAGTGCCTGCTGTGGTGTGCAGCTGTCTGCTGACCTGGTCGCCTCCTTGTTGTCAGCCTGGCAGATCGCCTGCTCCCTGCAGATGTGTGAGGGCCTGAAGGACAGTAAGATACTCAGCAGGGACTGGGGCAGCTTGTACTTGGTAGCTGAAACATTTCCGCAGGAAGCCATTGTTATTCATTCACAAGCAGTGAAAGATAAAGACCAAAGATCCACTAGCACTCCGGATCAGCCTTGGTAGCTTTTGGGGTTTCAGCAGATAAAGTAGATTGACTTTGTGGTTCCCTGTCATCCTTTGTTGTTCCTTAAATTCCCAGGTGTGCTCTTCCAGGCAGGGCCTTTTGTTCTTGACACTTGCTGTCTCTGGAATGGCATTCTGTGGGGCGTCAGTTCTCCTTCCAGGTTGAGCTCCCTGTCCTGTTACCTACTTGGCTTCCCTGTGCTTCTGTCACCATTGGATGATGAATTGACTTATGTTGTGATGGTTCTGCTCTCCCTCGTAAAGTGCAGGCCCTGTGAGGCTGTTCTGACCCCGTCTGTTCACTGCTGCATCTTCAGTGTGTTAACAGCATGGGTGCATGGTAAATGTTTGTTGTATCTCTGAGTTTTCCCAACTCAGGACCTTTGGATCTAAGTAACTGGGATTTGTTGTGGTATTTTTGTTCCTGTGACATTCATTATTTGAGCTATTTTAATAATAGGTAAGATATTGTTAATTTTATTAATAGGTAACATGTCTTTAATTTTAGTTTTCAGATTTTTGTAAAAGTTTCTTTAGGTGTAGTTTTGTAAGTTGACTTTATCTTCCTGCATGTGACACGTGGATAAAAATTTAAATTTACTGAGTAACTTTAAAGGGCCCAGGTTTAAGAAACCCCATTATAATTGTGTTATTTTGTCAACTCATTTTACTACCTTTAGAGCTATTTAAGGAGTTACTACAGTCAAGGAATCACTACGCCTTGTGCTTTTCTGCATCAGGTATACATTCTGCTGAAGGTACTTTACTGTAGGCGATGAGTTACGGCAGGTGAGGTGTAGGTGTGTGGTGTTGATGGCCATGAAGAATCTCCATAATACAATAGTTTCTCCTTAGTGAGTTTAACTGCCTGTATTAAAATGTCTGTGTTTCTTGTAACAATTTCTAATTGTGTAGTTTATAGGCAAGCAATAAACAGCAAGATGTTTGAGGTGGACATGAAAATTGCGGCAATGCATGTAAAAAGAAGGCAACTCCATCAACTACTACCTAATCATGTGCTTCAGAAAAAGAAAAAGGTAAATTTAGAAAGTACTTAAAAAAGCATTCCTAACAATGTTTGGAGCACTTTTATTTTTAAGGAATAGAACCAACATTATGCTTTATATGTGTAAGAAGTTAGGCTTAAAAAATGTTTCTAGGGCCGTGCGATAGCCTATTGGCTAAAATCCTTGCGTTGTGCATGCTGGGATCCCATATGAGTGCCAGTTCATGTTCCTGCTGCTCTGCTTTCCATCTAGCCCCTGCTTGTGACCTGGGAAAGCAGTCAAGGACGGCCCAAAGCCTTGGGACCCTGCAGCTGTGTGGGAGACCTGGAACAAGCTCCTGGTTCCTGGCTTCAGATTGGCCCAGCTCCAGCCATTGTGGCCATTTTGGAAGTGAATCAGCAGACGGGAGATCTTCCTCTCTGGCTCTCTTCCTCTTTGTAAATCTGCCTTTCCAATAAAAATTATTCAAAAATTCATCTTTGCATTTTTAAAAATTTTAATTTTACTTGAAAGGCAGAGTTGCATGAGGAGGAGACAGGAGGTCTGCCGCCTGCTTCTTCACCTCCCAGATGGCCCAATGAGCAGAGGTGTGGCAGTCTGAAGTCAGGAGCTGAGATCTACCTCCAGGTCTCTCTTGTAGGTGCAGGACCTAAGGACTTGAGTCTTGCAAGCTCTGCTGCTGTCTTAGGCCATTAGCAGGGAGCTGGGGCAGAACCAGAGCAGCAGGGACTAGCACTGCTACCCATGTGGAGTGCTGGATACCACTCTGCTGACCCCTCTGCTTTTTTTTTTTTTTTATAAAGATTTATTTATTTATTAGAAAGTCAGATATATAGAGAGGAGAGACAGAGAGGAAGATCTTCTGTCTGATGATTCACTCCCCAAGTGAGCGCAGTGGCCGCTGCTGTGCCAATCTGAAGCCAGGATCCAGGAACTTCTTCCGGGTCTCCCACGTGGGTGCAGAGCCCCAAGGCTGGGCTGTCCTCGACTGCTTTTCCAGGCCAGAAGCAGGGAGCTGGCTGGGAAGTGGAGGTGCCGGGATTAGAACCAGTGCCCATATGGGATCCTGGGGCGTTCAAGGCGAGGATTTTAGCTGCTAGGCCTGCCGCCGGGCCCACCCCTCTGCTTTTGTACTGCTAAATATACCACGTTAAAATCTTCAGTTGTACTTACAGCACTAGAAATTTTGTGTATGAGCATCTCATTGACATAATGATAAGTATCATTGAGTTAATACTTGGTAAAGTTTTTTCAAATGACTTTTTGTGTTCGTTTAGGACAGAAATCTGTAAACACCAAAAAAAAATCATTTCTGATCTCACTAGAGTCAGTTACTGTCTAGTTGATTGTTGATTTCTTGTATATTTGTATGCATATTTGTGTCCTGATTAAAGATTTATAGCCCTGATTGAAGATCCATGTAATTTCACAGTACATTTTAATTAATAATGTGTCAACAATCTGTACACATTTGGTGTATCAATCTCTTTTTCTCCCCTCTCAACGCCCCCACATGAGAACTATAGCTAAGTTGAAGACTTCTAGAAGTTCTGGAATTGTGTTACTCCAAAATTCTTGCTTTTTATTATCAGCATGACACTTCTGATTTCATAAACTTAACGATTTGCACTTCTTAGTCAATCATGTTACATAAAAAGTTTTCATCTTTCAAAGATCTGGGTGACGTAAGCATATGCACATTTGTAACACAATGCTTCATTGGTTGTAGCATTCAACAGAAGGTGTCAAATTGACAGCTCTCAATGACAGCAGCCTCGACCTGTCTGTGGACAGCGATAACAGCATGTCCGTGCCTTCCCCCACGAGTGCTCTGAAGACTAGTCCGTTGAACAGTTCTGGCAGCTCTCAGGGGTAAGGAAAAAGGAGAGGGAGGCAGCAGGACTATGTGGTTAGCAAGAGTTATCCATCTAGAATGTTCTTTTTATTCCATCTAATTTTTTTTTTAAATAAGCAGGTTCTGGTTTTGGGATGTTAGTTTTAAGTTTTATTCAAAGGTGTGTATTTGGAGTTCACTTTGGGACTGATATGTCTTCATTTAAAAACAAAGGATATTTAATCACTGTAGTCACCCAAATGTAGAAACCTGTTGCTACAGAAAATGACTTGGTGTGTCAGTGAGGACAGACCCACTCTGCTGTCCTAGAACTTACACTTGAGCAGTGTTATCCCGGATAGCATTGGTGAGTTTCCAAAGAACGGAGGGGTCTGGGCATTTTGGCCAAGGAATCCCTGTTTTTTAAGAATTCCGTGTACTGTTGAAAACATTTAAAGCAGTTAAAATTCTGTTATGACAGAAATACCTGTCTGTGGCAGCAGAAATTAGAAAGCAGGAGCGGATCATTTGTATTTGATTTCTGTACTTGGTTATAGTGTGTTCTGTACTGTCAAAGGAAGCTGTGTACAGGAGAATTTTGTCACAGTGGTTATAATTTGCACTGTGGTAGTTATACTGATCTCTCTGTAAAGAAATTGACATTTAAAAACTTGAGCACTTTTATGAACACATGATATATCTAACTTCTTCAGTTTTAACATTTGGGTGCTCATTCTCTAGCCAGTGGCAAAGATAAGCCTGAAGATTGGATGAGTTAGGATTTTTTCTTTTTGGAGCTCCCATGCATGGTGTGTTTTTAAGTTAATCATGTGTAATCTGAACTTTAGGCTAAAGCTGTATTCTGTGTTTTGGAAGTTACTATTATTTTGTTTTGTTTTATTATTATTTTGTTAATTTGAAAGGCAAAGTTACAGAGACTGGGAGAGACAAAGATTGATAAACTGGTTCATTCCCCAGATGGCCACAGTGACTGAGACTGTGCCAGGCCAAAACCAGGAGCCCAGAGTTTTTTTTACCAGGTCTTCCCTGATGGATTCAGGGGCCATGAACTTGGGTTTTTCTGCTGCTTTCCCAGACATGTTAGCTGGGAGCTGGATTGGAAGTTCATGACCCAGCTGCTCTGCTCTGCTCGTGAGTTGTAAACCATTGCCCAAATGGGGTGCTGTCATTGGCTGTTGTTTAACCTACTGCGCCTGAACAATGGCACCTTAAGATACTTCTTAAATATTGAACTTTTGTTTTGTGTTTCTTGGTTTGCTTGTTTTTGAAGAAATTTTAAATAGTTTTCCTTTTGTTTACTTTGAGTTGGTACATGAGTTTATAAAATGTATATACAACACTACAAGTAATATTAACTTGTATAGGTGGAAACTTTGAATTGTTATGTATATCCTTGTGTATTTGATCAATTCTGTTGATGTTGGGCACTCTACTAGGTGTTTCAGGTTTTCTCTCACATCTGACTTTGTCCAGCCCTCCATTTCATCGTACTTGGAGGGCTGTCTTGAGGCCTCATTGTCCCATCCTGGTGCTGCCCCTGCGTGGTCTCCTCGCCTCGCTTCCCAGGACTGGCGGGCTCCCCTGTGTGTGGTCCACCCTTTCCGAGTGTTGTCATGCTTCAGTTTCAGAGTGAGATAGCTAGAGATCTGTGTGCTTTTATTTATCTGTTCTTCAGAAGATAAAAGCTAAATTTAAATATATAGGATGTGTTTTGGAGAAAATCATTGATGGCATAGGAGAATATAGGAATTTGAATTTTCTGAGATTACAGGAGGTTCTGGGATCTAGAACATGACAGGAGGCATTGGGCTTTGGGTTGCAGTGAGAAGGATAGGAAAGAAAGCTCAAAGCTTGAAGAAAAATGTGGCTTTTTAAAATACTTATAGTCAGAATTGTTTTAAAAAATTAAAAAGATTTGGAACAAATTCTTTCTAAACTATTAGAACATCTCTGTCACTTACGGTCTTCATCCTATGTCTGATCCACTAGATAGAGTTTTTTGTGCCTTTAGATTTTGAATGAAAAATTTCTGTTATCTCAGACTATTTTCTTAAATCACAATCTTGTATAGAGTTTTGTTGTATCCCAAACAAATTGCCTGTCATTCCAAATCAGAGGTTTGAGAACTTCTCTTCAGTTCGGTATTCACTAACTACTGTGATTCTCTCCTCCCTTCCCCTTCCCTCCCATAGCTTTTACTTTGCTTTCCTACATTCTTCTTTCCTCCTCTCCTCCCTTCCCCTCCTCTCCACTCCTCTCCTCCCCTCGCTCCCTCCCTTTATTTCTCCCCCCTCCCCTCTTCTCTCTCCTCTCCTCTACTCTCCCTTCTCTCCCCTCCCCTCTCCTTTGTGTGTTTGCTTTAAAGGGCCACAACATCCAGAGCCCAAATGACCCTAAAGCCAGGAACTAGAAGCTTCTTTTGGTCTCCCATGTGGGTGCAGGAATGGTTCCAAGCACTTGGTCCATCTCCTGCTGCACATTGCAGGGAAGTGGAATAGCTGGGACTTGAACTACTCCTAGAAAGGATGCTAAGGGTGGCGACAGCAGCTCTGCTTGCTATGCCCCAGTCCTGGCCCTTACCATGTTTCAAGTTGAGTGTGGCTGTGTCTTTATACTGCCAGCTATGTTGAATACCACTGGTAAAGGTTGCTTCCATTGTCAGAGAAAGTTCTTGGAAAGTGCTGCTTTAGAATGTTTGTATGCTTTTTAACTTTGGATTATCTTGTATCAGGTAAAGTTAGTAATAGAAATGTGTAGGAAGAGAAATAAAGAAATCATTCACTGTTAATTGATGCATGTTAAAAATAGTAGTGGGTTTTATTTCAATTATTTTTCCATTTGGTATTTATTGTTTTTAGCAGAAACAGTCCTGCTCCAGCTGTGACAGCAGCATCTGTGACCAACTCACAGGCTACTGAAGTTTCTGTGCCACAAGCAAATTCCAGTGAAAGCTCAGGGGGTAAGAACATTGCCTTGAGAGGGTTAATGATTCTGTATTACTGCTTTCAGCTTTCATTCCCAAAGAATGATTGATTGAATCATTGGTTTGCGTTGGGTTTTTTTTTATTCCATTTTGTTATTTGCACGTAATGTTACATGTAAAATTTAGGGAAATAAAAACTGACTTACAGCTTGATGTTATATTCTTTTCATTTGTATAAATTCCTATTTTTACTGCTTAGGTACATCGAGTGAAAGCATTCCTCAAACTGCCACGCAACCAGCCATTTCTCCACCACCAAAGCCTACCCTCTCCAGGGTTGTTTCTTCCACACGTCTGGTAAACCCACCACCGAGACATTCAGGAACTGCAACCACAGCGAAAGGACCCAGTCCCATCGCAGGAGTCAAGAGAACATCCTCGCCTCACAAAGAAGAGAGTCCGAAGAAAACCAAAACAGAAGAGGTATATATGTGCAAAATAGGTTTTAGCCATGGCGGCCCCAGTGGCCTGTTTTTAAATCCATTGGACAAAGTCTCTTGTGAGACAGAGTAACTTCTTATGTGTGTATAATGTAACACGATTTAGTTCAGCATTGCGCATGACCTAATGGATTCTTCTCCAGTGACAGCACCGTGTGCTGCGCCGTCCTTTGGAGGGCCCGCTTGGACGTGCAGCTGCAGTCTGGTAGCTCCGCTGCCTGGTGGGGAGAGGGCGCTGAGGATGCCCTGGAGCGGGCAGCAGCACTGCAGAGTCAGGCTGACTGGGCGTCTTGCTGTAGGAAACCCTCCAGCAATAGGTTCACAATTCAAATAGTTTTAGCAAAATCATTTTAAAATGTATGTTGATGATTTTTTTTAAAAGATTTTTTTTTTATTACAAAGTCAGACATACAGAGAGGAGGAGAGACAGAGGAAGATCTTCCGTCTGATGATTCACTCCCCAAGTGAGTGCAACAGCTGGTGCTGTTCTGATCCAGAGCCAGGAGCCTGGAACCTCTTTCGGGTCTCCCACGTGGGTGCAGGGTCCCAAGGCTGGGCTGTCCTCGACTGCTTTTCCGGGCCACAAGCAGGGAGCTGGCTGGGCAGTGGAGCTGCCAGGATTAGAACCGGTGCCCATAGGGGATCCTGGTCCGTTCAAGGCGAGAACTTTAGCCGCTAGGTCACGCCACCGGGCCCGATTTGTTGAGGATCTTAAAAATAGAAGTAGTTTTGTCGGAGTTTGGTTGCTCTGTGGTTATTCCCATGTCATTTTCATATTAGTGGAACATTCACCTTTGCTCCAGAAATCATAGTCCAAAAGTGCTAATTTCATAGTGATTTTGGCTGAGAATTTAATATTTAGGAACTTACTCGTTATGTGGAAATGTTTTAGAACAGGAAAAGGATTCAAGATCCTCACTGAGTCTGGTCGTGACCAGTTTTGGTAAAATACATACATACATTTATGTATGCCTAATTTCATAAGAGTTTTATTTTTGGGTTTATTTTGAAGGCTTTAATTGTTTATTTTGGAAATGATATTGACTAACCATTAGTAAAATTAATTTTTGTACTCTTACACTGAATGAGAATGAAAAATTAGTGCAGTATGTCGTATCTTTCAAGATGTGTTCAGGAGACTGCATCTGTCTCTTTACTGTCTATGCTTGACTGTTCATCAGGTATCTTCCCGATACACTGGCCAGAGCCCTGTCAGTCCCTTCCGAGCCTTGTGTGGTGACTGGCTTGGAGTGCACTGATTGTTCAGGGTTGCAGAGCCTCTCACGAGCCCCTTCCCCTAGGGATCCACATTCTAAACGTTGGGTTTCTCTAGTCAAAGTGGAATCCTGCGAGTGCTGATAAATATGTACCAACATGGCACTGTCATTCTGTTTTTGCTTACCTTAGTGGGATGATAGTCATGTTATTACTTGGCTTAAAGAAGCAATAGAAATTGGGCCCGGCAGCGTTGCCTAGTGGCTAAAGTCCTTGAATGCACGGGAATCCCATATGGGTGCTGGTTCTAATCCCGGCTGCTCTGCTTCCCATCCGGCTCCCTGCTTGTGGCCTTGAAAAGCAGTCGAGGACGGCCCAAAACCTTGGGACTCTGCACCCGTGTGGGAGACCTGGAAGAAGTTCCTGGCTCCTGGCTTCGGATCAGTGCAGCATTGGCCGTTGTGGTCACTTGTGGAGTGAATCATGGGATGGAAGATCTTCCTCTCTATTTCTCCTCCTCTCTAATATCTGACTTTCCAATAAAAATAAAATAATTTTTTTAAAAAAATAAGAAGCAATAGAAATACAAATTTTTTATATTTATGTAACTTTTTACATTCACTGTGGACGTGAAGTCAGCCCGTGTTCCTGTGGCTGTTTCACACTTGAAGGATAATGAACGCTCTTCGATCAGGCTTTTCCAGTTCCTTTTGTATGTGGAGTTTTTGAAACAAAAGCCAGATGGATCATTCGTTTTAATTTTTAAAATCATGCACCTAAATAAAAGTGTAAATATAGCCCAATAATAAAGCAAAATTTATTGACATCAACAAATACCTATTCAACTGATTGACTCACTGACTTTTTTTTTAAGATTTTTTTTTTATTACTAAGTCAGATATACAGAGAGGAGGAGAGACAGAGAAGAAAATCTTCTGTCCTATGATTCACTCCCCAAGTGAGCGCAGTGGCCGCTGCTGTGCCAATCTGAAGCCAGGATCCAGGAACTTCCTCCAGGTCTCCCACGAGGGCGCAGGGTCCCAAAGCTTTGGGCTGTCCTCAACTGCTTTCCCAGGCCATAAGCAGGGAGCTGGATGGGAAGTGGAGGTGCCGGGATTAGAACCAGCGCCCATATGGGATCCTGGTCCGTTCAAGGCGAGGACTTTAGCCGCTAGCCACGCTGCCGGGCCCTACTCACTGACTCTTAAAAAATAGTCCTTTTTGTTCAGTTAGGCAACCGGAAGAGGATTCTTAGACTGTAATTGCTTGGTGTGTCTTCAGTATCCTGCAGGAGTGGGAATCTTTTTTCTGCCCGTGGCCATTTGGGTAGTTTTGCATTTTTCACAGGCCATACACAATTATTAACTTAAAAATAATTAGCCTGCAGTTACTGTATTGAATTTCTGGTCCAGCCTCTGGTTGCCTTGGTGGCATCAGACCATGTGACTTCCTGGGCTTTGTGTGGTTCAGAGGCCACAGGCCTCACCGCTATGTCCATTTCCCCAGCCTTTTTTCACCTTGAAGTCTTTTTGCTCTGTGTATTTTTGTGTTGTAGATTTTGCTAATGCCATTTGCATGGAGTTGATATATAAATTGAATCAAGGTAAAAGGGGATGTTAGATTAATAACCGTACCTTTGGTTTCTCAGAAAGAGAACCGGTGCTCAGCTTTACAATTGTGCAACCATTTCTAGTGAGACCCGGGTTAGAACTCACGGTGCCAAATGTGGGATCTTTGCTCTGTCCTGCATTCTGTGACTAGATGAGGCTGGAGAAAATTGTAAAGCTTTGGTATGTGGGAAATTTCAAACATGTACAAATGTATGATGAAGTATCCTGTTCGCATCACCCAGCTGCAGTAGTTAGCAGGCGTGGTCAGCCTTGTTTCGCTTGCACAGCCGTCCCTTCCTTGTTTGGGAGCAAGCTCCAGGCAGGTCATTTCCACCACGGATGTTTCTGCGTCTGAAAATCAGGAGTCCCAAAAACCACAGTTAGGGTAGATCTGTTACACTTTGACCAGTTTTCATGGTGTCCTGTATCAGTCAGCATTCATTTTACTGTTATAAATGGGTATTTTAAAAATGTATGTGTTTGCAGGATGCAGATTTTGTCTTTATTGAAATTAGTTGCTGTTTCCACTTTTTAAATTAAATTTTAGCTTTGCTTAGTAAATGAAACCAAGGATATGGTGTCTAGATAGTTTTAATAGTGGAGGTTTTGTGGCAAAGTTTGAAACGGTGTTTTACTTGTTATAAGTCTTGTATATGCTGACATGCGTGTGAGTCTGCTAGAACGGGAGTGAGGGATCACCACAGCCCGAAGCTTGGTCGATCAGAGAATCTAAATTTTTTTTAGAAAAACTTTTATGAAGTTAGTGGTTTTGGCAATGTTCTTTAGACAGTGATCCTTTTTTTTTTTTAATTTTAGTAGTTGCTGAATTTAAAATATGCTTACAGTCTTGAAAAAATTTTATACATTGAAGCATTGATTGGCAAATAATTCCGATTCTTTCATTTTAGAGAATAAAGCTTTTTTCTTTAAAAACAGGATGAAACAAGTGAAGATGATAGCTGTCTTGCTTTGAGTGGACATGATAAAACAGAAACAAAGGTATACTAACGTAGCCTGCAGAATCAGACGCAGACGCGGTGGCAGTGCCTGCAGTGCTGCGCTGCGCTGTGTTGGTGTGGGTTTTAGATTTTTGTCAGTATTGTCTTTTGAGAAGTGTTTGTTACTTTTCAATGTTAATTTTACTGAACACTGAAGGGAATATATCATGAGATGTTGTATGCATTTAAAGGAGGTGATGAGCCAGTAAAACATGTAATTGTCATCAGAGGAAATCAGAATAATTGAGGGCAGGGAGGGGTGGGACTTGTTCGGCTTCACTGACAGAGAAAGTGGCAGGAAAGTTAAAGAGAACCTGGGGTTCTGGCGGTCTGAGAAGAAAGGGCCCTCGCCCTGGATCTCGGCATATGGTTTGGTTAGGGAATTCGTTTTTGGTAGAAAGTTTTGGCTACAACCTGGGGTGCATAGGGCTTGAATATGTTGAATACCAGAGATCTGTTTTGTGTAGATTTTGAATGGATTGAACTTGCATTTTACTGAAGGATTTTAATTTCATTCTCCTTTGCTGTAGAAAAATTGGAAGTCCTTCCCCTTTAATTATCCCAAATTTCTGGGATGGATACTTTCAACAAGTATTCTTTTTTTTTTTTTTCAAGATACTATTTTTATTTGCAAAGTCAGATATACAGAGAGGAGGAGAGACAGAGAGGAAGATCTTCCATTTGATGATTCACTCTCCAAGTGATCACAATGGCCACAGCTGTGCCGATCTGAAGCCAGGAGCCTGGAGGTTCTTCTAGGTCTCCCATGTCCACTGGTTTACTCCTTAAGTGGCCACAATGACTGGAGCTGAGCTGATCCAAAGCCCGGATTCTGGAGCGGCCTCTGGATCTCCCACATGAGTGCAGGATCCCAAGGCTTTGGGCCATCATCGACTGCTTTCCCAGGCCACAAGCAGGGAGCTGGATGGGAAGCGGGGCTGCTGGGACTAGAACCAGCGCCTACCTAGCAAGGCTTTTGATATCTATTTTTAATTCACTTTGTAAATGAGAAACATGTGCTGGGTAATAATCTATAGTATTGTTAATAAGCACACAGAATGCTGTCTTAAGAGTATTCCCGTATTGCAGGCGATGAGTTCCCAATCATTCATTTTTTTCTGTTAAAAAAAAAAAGGTGAGGTGTTGGGCTCCAAGTATAGTATTTATATACTGCTGCGAAATTCCTGCTATGCGTTCGTGTTACGGAAGAAGAATAGCTTAATTTTTAAAACTTTGTGCACGTGGCCAACTTCCTAGAAAAGCTGCGCTTTTTCCGTTCCTACTCCTGACACTTCATTACCCTTTTAATTTCACAACAGAAAATCAATACTTCATTGTTTTATTTGTGCAGAAAATGAAGTTTCTGTATGGTTATCTCCCTTTCTGTGCGCACATGTGATGCTGTACCCACTGGCTCAGCAGCAGCTGGAAGCAGTGCGAGGGCAGCAGTGTCCTGTGCTTTCTCATCATGCCTGCAGGAGGATTCAGAGGGGAAAAGAGATTTAAGGAGGAAGAAATCTTTTCAGTTTTAAAATTAAAGCAGTGTTTATACTCCTGAGTAATTGTACCTGATATTTGAAGAGTTGGTAGTGTTTTTTCTTTTTCATTTAACTAGAGCATTTTGTGGGTTTGTATTGTGTTAATTATTGTCTGGGCAACATTCATAATATGCCTGTGTGTTGTTAATTATTGTTTGCTTAAAACATCTAAGTTAGAGCCAGTTGGAAAATCTTGACATATTCTGTCCTTAGTTTATATGATTTGTAGGCAAATACAAATTTTTGAATACTGAAGTGGTAAAATAGGCTTAGTAGATGCTTTTGTAATGTAGTTACATCTTCCTCTTGATCCTTGCTGTCTGAGTTTGTCGTCTTTACTAGCTGCCAAACCCAGTGATGATTTTTTTTTTATTCTTTTTTAAGTCTCTTCTCCCCCTCCCCATCCTCTTTGTCTCACAGGAACAACTCGATACAGAGACAAGTACAGCTCAATCAGAAACTGTTCAGACAGCGGCTTCTCTGCTGGCCTCTCAGGTACTAAGAGCAAAAAGCAAGGAAAGCTTTGGGGATGTCCTTAAGATCAGTGTGGTGTATTGAGCTGAACTGAGCATTCGTAGAGAACTGCTGAAATTGTCTGTGAAGGAGTTACTGCCTAACCTGTACATGCGTATTCACTGTAGCTCGAAGGCAGGGCGCTGGACCTGATGGAAGTCTTGTATGTTGGATGCTTACTCAGTATTGATACCTCATTGATACTGTGAATCCTGTAAATTCTCACTAGTTTATGCACAGGCCATGCAGAGGTTTTATTTATAGAATAAGGTAGAAGTTAGGATAGGGAAGAACTGAAATCCATGCTTACAGGTTTTTTTGTGTGGTTAGTATTTTCTGTTGGTTACTTAGTATATAAAGCATAATTCTTGGGAATTATTTTTTCATTTGTATTAGCTGTCCTATTTGTGACAGTTAATTGGATACAGTAAGCCTGTGGGATGTTTTTTCATTTATTTGAAAACTAGTTTTGCTTGTAAAATAGTTGTTTTCCTTTTGGATCCTTTCAAATAAGATAAAACCCAAAATCTAGATCAGACTCTGACACTTAGTAAGTTTTCTGAGTTGATTAATTAACGTGGTTACTGGCTGCCTGGTGGTGCTCTCTGCTTATGCTGCGGCGATGTTTTTACTGTTTGTGGTTCAGCGTTTATTTAAAGTAATTATAAAAAAATACTCTTGTAGAATGTTAATTTTTATAGACTGCAAAGATACATAATTACTATATTTAGTTTCTGGAATTTTGTCCACAATTTTTATCTAGTAAAACACTGGGCGATGAGGACTAAAATAACCATGAGTCTCACGCTTCAGACTGGTGCACAGACAGAAGTTTTCATCGAACTTCAACTGGCCTGTAACTGTGATTGCATGTTTGCCATTTCCATCGCTAAGCAACCATTTTCATAGACATGGTCTCATTGAGTCCATTGCTGCAGTGACTAGAACACATGAGTGCCTGCCTCTTAGATGCTTATGAGTGAGAGTCCTAAAGCCAAGGAGAGTAAAAGCACACTTTTCGTCAAAAGCATGCTTCTGTTGCTTAAAATTGCGTTCTTGTTGTTGAAATTAGGGCCACGTCTATTCTGCAGGAACTGATAATTGTGGCTGTGTGTAACAAGGTATCCTTACTGTTTTGAGATAAATCATGAAATAACAGAATCTCTGAGATTTGCTTATAGGAGGAAGGGAGGTATTGGATCGGTGAAGCTGGGTAATGAATCCATGGAAGTGTATTACATAATGCTCTCTACATTTGTGTATGTTTGGGATTTTCCATAATGAAACACGTAAAGATTTATTACTCTAGTTCTGAATCTTAAGGAAGGGTTGTGATCTACTCTGTTTAACATAATGAAAACTTGTCTAAAAGCTAGAGTCATTGTTGCTCAGCTTTGTAGATCTGATTTATAATTGGTGGTACAAGAAAGGAGATTTTGCCGACGGCTGCTGCTGCCTGAGTAAGGGTGAAGTTAGGCTTTCTCCCACACGGGGGTGCTGCAACACCAGTTAATGTCACAACCATTAGTGTTGTAATACGTAAAAACAGTTTAGCATTAACAGGGTAATTATGTGATAGGTAATGCTTAGCGATTCATATTTTTAAAAGCTATATTTGAAATTGCTTAGATGTTTTCTGTATATTGCTAAAATTGTTAAAATACTGGTGCTTAATTATTTTAGAACTTCTCCAATGCAATAGTAATATTCGTTTGCATTCTGTTTGAATAATTTAGAGTGATTTTTAGCTTTAGAATACTTTTCTTGTGATGAAGTTCCAACAGTCCTAAAGTGGAAGCACGTCTCATTTCAGGTTGCTCTGAACAATGATGTGTTCTTTGCTTTCGTTCTCAGAGAACTTCCAGTGCCGACCTTTCCGACATCCCCGCTCTCCCTGCAAATCCCATTCCTGTTATCAAGAATTCAATAAAACTGAGATTGAATCGGTAAAAACAACCTCAGGGGTCCGTAAACAATATCTGCCAACTCCACCTGTCGTCTTCAAATGCTGAAAAGGAGAATGGAGGGTACAAGACTAGACATGACTGAAAATGGACTTAGGTGTTTTTGGTGACCTCCCTTACTGGGCTAATCAGCACTTGATCGGAAGTCCAGGTTAGTATGTGAAGCCAGGAGTACTGTTATTATTGTGTTAGCAACAGTTGCATTAACTATTTCAGAAATTACTGCCTTTAAAAAAAAAAACCTCCAGTTACCATTTGTATTCATAATTGACATCTGAATTGGGTTTATGTTTGATGCATTGTTTGGAAAATTTTGCAATACAAACTGGCATAAGAATTCCTTATTCTGATGATGCACTTTTATGTATTTTTTTATTAGAAAGTAGAACTAATTTTAGATTTTCAGCTTGATGGATTTTCTTTCCTGAAGAATTACTTTTACCATTAGCTTCCAATTGGATGCCGTTGTGCAGTGGTGTCCCGTTACGCTGGAGAGAGAGGAAGCGGGCACGTCTAGTTCAGTCTCCTTTGAAGTAGCTGTAAGCCTTGAAAATGAAAGAGCAATTCTGGGGTATACATTTGACATTGAAAGAATAATTAAGACAAACTTGGTTTTGATGGGGTCGCGATTAAGAAATGATATATTGGTTTTATTTATAGAATTGTTTTGTAGTGCATACAAATCAGCGATCAGCAAATATTTTTCTTCAAGCTTATCAGAGTTCTATATTCTTTTGCCTTCCATCTGTTGTCTTCGAAAATAAAAAGAAAAGCTTTTTGCACTCCCCACCCACCTTTTTTCTTAGTTTCCTTTTGCTTATATGCACAAGGTAGGAATTCCTTCACAGAGAACAAAATGCCAGTATTTTCTTAAGCCATGATATGAAACCAGTATGATGAGCCTGTGGCTGCATGGCACAAAATAGTGAATTTTGGTCCCATGGCTGAAACCCTTAGAGTGACTAACAAGAATGCCTGTGAGACCTGTCATCTTGAATGGTTATCTGATCTCAAGAATCTTGTACACTCCATGAACTCTTGTCTATAGTACATTGGTTTTCAATTTTAAACGTGGGCAAAAAGGCATTTTCTCCAAGATTTCTGAACTAATTTTTATTTTTAACTGGTTTACCAAATTTGTCAGTGAATTTTACATATAGAAACATTTTAAAAATCATTTCTATTAAGCACTTGACATCTAGTCAGCTTTCTTTTTATTTTATTCTACCAAATGATTACGAACTCCTTCCATTACAGAAAATAATCCTAATAATTAAGCGTAAGAAAATGCATCTTTACAAAGTGTGAGGGATGCCAGATGTGGATCAGCTTACTGTTAAATGGACAAAGCAGACCTAATGTTTGTTCTAATGAGCATGCTCTAGAATCTTCCATTGTGTTCCATTCTATCACATGTGCATTTTTCATGTTAAACTGCAATGACTTTAACTCTTCCCCTATCCTTCAAATTAATTTTCTGAATTTGGAGTCCAGTCTTTTCCCCCTGTAGGCCGTGCATTAATTGAAGCTTTCTTTCCACCATGACTTTATAATGTCTAGTAGACAACATTTCCGCTTCCCACATCTGCTCTGCACCGTCACCTTGCCCTTCTTCCACCACCTGCAGAAGAGAGACGGTCCTACCAACAGGTGAAGTGTACAAGGTGTCTGTGTGTTTCGTGTAGCTTCAGAGTTAGATTGAAATTGCCAGGCACAGATTTAGTCTTGTCATTTTGTTTACACATTGGGGAAATTTTCAGTTTATTAAACGTTTCATGTAATTGCACCCAAGTTTTGCCAAGTGGGAACTTGGACATTTTCTGTGTAGTGACTTTTTAATTCTAGTTTTCATAACCTGGAGATCAGACTGTTGCTTCCGCATGATGTATGTAGTGTCTCATGACTGGAGTTTGCTTTGTTTTATAGTATCTGTACTCCTTGTATTTTTCAAGAGCTATTTTGTAAACAGATGATGTATTTCTCCATTGAAAACACAATAAAAAAAAAAAAGCACAATGCCACAGTTGGCTGATTTCTTTTGACTGACATTTTTTTCCCCACCAACAGTTGAGTCTACTTAAATGTTTAAAGATTGGGTTTAAGATTTGCAAAAGAATTTAATTTACACCAGTGGTAGCAACAACTCAATTTATCTCTCACATAAAAATCTGGTATTTGTCGTATAATTGATCTTTTTTTTTCTTTATAATTGATCTTTAGGGAGGAAAATATGAACATGGTCCTAATTCATTTTCAGCTGTCCAATCAACTGAAGTATTTTCTCTGTACATTATCTGTGTACTATGTATTCCACGGTGATAACCCCAGTTCTTTTCCATACCAGTGGACATGTCATTTCTAATGTCAGCAGATGGCGCTGTTGTTTCTCAAGGAATGTAGACTCCTAGGCTGCCAGCAGTTAGGATCCTATTTATTTGACTAAAGCCAAATCAGATTCTGCCTTTCTTAAACCTCCAAATGCTTAACACTCATACTTGATTCATGGATGATGAGTAAACTGCTTGCTGTGTATGTGCTGGCCAGCTCTCGGGTATGGCTCCTGTGGTGGTGTGTGTGTATATGTTTGTGCTGGCATTCATTTTCATCTGCTTGAAAGTTGCAGCATGAGGGTGAGAGATTGTCCAACTGCTAGTTTGCTTCCTAAATGCCCGATAGCCAGGCCTACACCAACCTGAAGGTAGGACTCTAAATTTCTTTCAGATTCCCCTGGAGGATTCCAGGGGCCTAGAGCCTTGGAGCCATCATCTCTTAGTCCCAGTTGACATTAGCTGCATGCTGCACCAGAAGTAGAGTACTAGGATCTGAACCAGGAATTCTGATGGGGGATGCAGGTACCCCAGGCAGTTGCTTCACCTGCAGGATTTTGAGTGAGGGGATGAATTGCTCTATGGAAATGCTATTATGCCAAGGAACATGCAGTTGTACATATTTAATACCTAAAGTTCCAAATTATAGATTCAATATGTCTGATAATACAAGACTACTATGTAGGATGGCTCATAAAAATAAAATTTAATTTTTGTGATTGGTAGAAGGAAAAATGTGAAAGTTATTTTTGACTGAACTGTTAAACACTTATAGAATTTGTTGAACTTCCTCTTATCCTGAAGGATACCTAGACATGAAATTAAATACAATACTTTCAGAGTTTTTGTTTTGCTCTTTTAAGATTTATTAATTTGAAGAGTTGCGGAGAAGGAATCTTCTGCTGATTCACTCCCCAGATGTCCACAATGGCCAGGCTGGTTGCTGGTGGATGTCAGTGGATGACAGCGGCCCTAACACTGGCTTTAACAGGCAGCCCATTCCCAGGGAGCTGGGTCAGAAGTGGAGGATCCCGAAATGAAGCAGCACGCTTATGGGATGTCTGAGAGTTTACCCTCTATGCCACAACTGCCCCGTGCTTTCCGTGACTCTCACGGCTTTTTGACATTTATGCATCTGATCTTGGAAGGTTTATTGAATGATACTTTTTGAAGTTGTGGCTATTAAGTAAATTCTGGGCTAAAGCTTTAACTTGTGAGTCGTGCCTGTGGTTCCCGCCTCCCCCCAGAACATGGCGGAGCTGTGCATGGTACTCTGGCTATGTGCAAGGTGGCAACGAGTGGTGAGCAGCTCCAACTACTGATTGCCACACGATGGGATAAATTATCTCAGCAAACAAGCCTAAAAGACCAAGCCCTGGCAGCATCGCTAGAGCAGTTAGAGGCTTTTGTTCTTTTAATAGCAAGCTTATCTAGAAGGACTGAGCAATTCTTTGGAAATATTTTTGCCCATTTTATTTCTAATAAAAATGAATAGTACATGGAAAGTTATCTTTTTTAGCCTGAATCACATGTCCTTGTTCTGTTTTTTAGTTATCTACATTATTTCTCTTCTGTTAGCTTTCTTCAAGCCAAAATCACAAACGAATGCAGTCTTGGCTGTCAGACTTGAACTTGGTAAATGAAGAATTATGTTCTGTGATGAACAGCGACCTTGAGTCATATGCAAAAACAAGTGGTCCGTTTACTTGTCTAGGAGCTCCTTCTATAATTGTGGCACGCACTCATTCTCTTCCTACTGTGAATTTTACATTTCTAGTTAACATGTTGCAAGACTGTATTGGTACCATTGCAAAAGGCGGCATAAGTGTTTTTGAGCTTTGTATTTAAAAACTGATCCTAATTGATCTAGAAGCAATTTTATATATCTGCTAAGTCTACTTTTCTTCCTTAGAAATGTGCTTTTATGTCAGTGTTGTGGGGCTATCATTGTAGCTGGTCAAACCTCACAAGTGTTTTGTAGGAAAAGGATGGAATTTCTGTTTTTCTTCACCTTGTTCTCGCCAAGTCACAGGTGTGTCTGGAAAAGGCATGGTTGATACTCCACTCATGTTCACATATCAGAAAGCTCACAAATGTGGAAGAACATGATTGTAATTGTTTGCTTCACTTATCTTTCAGTGTTCATGTCTGCTAAGGGCAAATATTTAGAGTTAAGAGCTTAAATATCTATTTTTTTAAAGTGTGAGAATGCTGAACCCTGCATTCTCCCTGGCACTGGGTCCCGTGTTTAACTGTGGAAAGCCCAAGGATAGTTCCTTTTGATGTTACATTGTTGAACAAGAGCCTGGCAGCCAAAAAGTTGGTTCACTCTGGGCTTGAATTTACCATCCTCACTTCGGTCCTGGAGCGGAGTCCTCTGTCCGTGTGAACCCATGCTGGCGTCACGTCGTGGCAGGCCCCAGCGAGAGTCACAGCTTGGGGGTGGGTAGGTGGCATCTTAAACATGGAGCTTTCCTGTAGTCATTGTTCATGTTTTCAAACAAATTAACAGCTTGAAATGCAAAATGGAATATGAGGCTGAATCCTGACAGTGATCTAGTCTGGAAGTGGCTGTAATTACAAACCTGTGAAGTCTCACACACAGCACCGCGCCTCCCGGCAGACCTGAGGTGGACTCAGTTTGCACTTACTCTACCTGGCTTTTGTTTCATATTTAGTCATATGATTATGACCTTATTTTTAAAATTGCGTTTCTTAAAAATGCTTAATGTTGTAAAAGTGTTTCCCTTAACACTCTAATTTGTAACCCAACTTTTCATGCTGAAAATGCAGACTTTGAATAATTCAAACGTTCTGTTTTGTGTGTGTGACAGCTTCTTGCAGACAACTCGCTCGTGTGTTATCTAATAATGTAATACATAAAGTCCTAAAAATAGCTAAAACCTGGGTACTGAAAATTTTGCAGTAAGATTTTTGGAAATGAAAAATTGCAAATTCTTTCTGGGAAATTTGGTGATTTCCCCCCCGCCCCCCCCATTGCTGTACCCCTCTGTCCCATACCTACATTCCCAGCTAGGTATTTAGGATTGCTTTTAGATTTTAACCATAATATAGGTATGTGTATTTTTGATGTAATAATGTGAAATGTCTCCATTTTGTGTTTGTTCCTAAGGATGCTGTCTCTTCTCTTGGCATAGCACTCTCCTTACAAACTTTCACACTGTGTGGGGCCTGGTGCTATGTGATTTCCAGAAATCTGGCATGAGAATTGGTCCTTGTTTGCGTTTTCTGACTGCAGTGGAGCTGTTAATAAAGAGATTGATGATAAAGTTGTCGAAAAGAGACAGTTGGGCAGAACTGCTCCCCATGAGTGACAGAGGGCATGATCTGCCTTCACAGCCAAGAAAGCCGCCCCCAGCAGAGAACCGGCCGTGCCTGGACGCCGTGCCAAGACTGCTAGAAGGAGCTCTGTGCACCGTTAGGCTGGTGCTTCTCCCTTCCAGTCAGACTTGCTTCACGTTCCCATTTTTATCCATGAGTTCATGAGATGTTCAGAACAAATGTATTTACAAACATGACACTTTGCAACAGTAAAATAATTTTTCCTGGTGCTTAGAAGTACTCACAATTGATTCCAGTTTGGTAAAATTAAGCTTCGTTTTGGAAGTGAAGTTTTTACAGAAAATGTACATTTCTTGTAGTCAGCACCTTTATTAGATCGTTGTTTCTTAGCATTTACTTGGGAGGGAATGAGACATCCCTGATCATTGGTCCACTTCCCAAGTGGCCATAACAGCCAAGGCCCGGGCAGGTCAGATCCCGAGGGCCTGCTGCTTAGTCTAAGTCACATGGTCAGCAGAGGCCCACATCATTGTGCCATCCAAGAGTGCACGTTAGGAACCTGGAATTTAGCAGAGCTGTGACTTGAATATTGGGATACAGGTGTCATGTTTATAAAATCTCAGAAGAAAGCTATTTCATAAAATCCCTGCTAGCTTCTAGTCAATTACTTGCATTGTGAAAGGAGTCTATTTGATTATTTCCATCTGTCTAATATTTTGACATATTGAGTTGGGTCAAGATGATTCGTTGACCGAAGAGTCGTGGTAGCCTGAATACCATGCATTCTCCTGGAACTGGCCAGTTGATGGGGGATAAAATGAGGCTTTTATCTGGAGTATGTACCATCAGGATAACTTGAAAGGAAGTAGAACTTGGGGAGTGATACAACAACTTGAGTGAGCAAGAATCCATTGTCCAGTGACAGAGCAGTCAAGTGGCCCTGATTTTCCGTGTGTTCTCTGACCAGCCCGTTCTCAAAAGCCTCACTTTAAAGGGCTTCCTTGGCCGGACCTCAGGGCCATTTAAACTGGCTCTAATCACTGACTGTTAGCCATAATCCCTACAAAATGGATCAGTGATGGGTAACATTATCCTTCTTAAGCCACCAATAATAGTGGAGTCTGCAAGAGATGCTTGAGGTTCTTGAACGTAGTGAGCAAGACTGAGGATCCGTCCCTGCTGTACGGCTTGCCTGAAGCTGGGTAAATGCCACGGGAAACTGGAGTTTAGATGGAAACATGGATTCCGGAAGTCAAAATCTGATCTAGGGCCCGACACAGTGACTCAATTGGCTAATCGTCCACCTCCGAGTGCTGGGATCCCGTTTGGATGCTGGGTCGTGTCCTACAGCTGTTCCACTTCCCATCCAGCTCCCTGCTTACGGCC